GCGTTTCTCTAACTTAAAACGAATGCAAAGTTGGATAAACTGTTTGGAGATTAGTGTTACTAGTGGTGTGAAAACGAGGAGATGAATGTGTTTAATGAACAGAGGAATTTTATGTGCTCGTGAAAGCGTGAGTGACCACCAGTTCCCAATTGCGCAAACCCCTCCAAATGCCAAACAGTTAATTTCACCTTTAGGCACAAATCTGACCTAAACAAACTGGTTAGCACTCACGAGGTATGCAACATAGATGGCACTGAAATTGAAACCAAGTCGGAAATTAAATACCTAGGCGTCACTCTATCTTCTGATCTTTTCTGGTCGTCTCATATCTTGATGATTTCTAAGAAAATATTCCGTCTTACCTTCTACATCAAGAAATTAAGACATTCTGGTGTAACCCCCAACCCTTACTCCTACAATTTGTTAACTCCCGTATTCTGCCTATTATTCTCTATTGTTCTCCCTTAGTCTTTCCTGGGCTATTGAAGAAAGACTATACCTTATTACGCAGGATGTTAAAGGTTGTCAGCAGGGTAAGCAGTTCGCCACTTGGCCAGCTTGTTAATATTCTGGTGGACAGGCACATGGACTCATGTGGAAAATGGGCAAAAACCATTTTATCTAACTCACAACACCCTCTACATCCACAACTCTCCCATGTATCTCTTCAGGGAAAACCAGAAGCCTATTTAGGAAACTATATGCCCGCACTAGTAAGTACAAAAACTCAATCATATCCTACTTAGCTCGTGTTCCGTGCGACAAAAAAAAAGCATTAGGAGTGATACCTATAACTTATTAAATAGTTAGTAGAACAACTGGATCTTGTCTTATCAACTCACATCATTTACAGGTACAACGTTTTCTCTCTACCTTTTTTCATTTTGTATTCATTTTTGTTATGTGCCGTTTTGTTTCTCTCTTTCTTACAAACTCTACTTAAAACATTCTTGTTCGTTCTTTCACACTCTGTATATCTCGACCATTTTTCTATCGCTTACGCCAGTAAATACGCTAGTAGTATCTACTTTTCTAACACCTTCAAACACTCTGTTCAATTTTGGCTTCGCTACCGACATGCTAATATGTTGTTGTCAAAACTGACTGAGATAACTTTAATCTATGTAGAACTTTATTTATTGTTAATGTACTAACTGGATGCAATATTGTAATAAAAATGCTGAGAATTCCATTCTGTATCACAAATACTGATTTGGAATAAAGCTATTATCTTATCTTATCTTATCTTATCTTAGGAAGATTTATTTGTTCTTTATGTACATGGAGCAGAAAAAGCACTACTGTTACTTGGTTTTCTCATTCACTAAGCCGATCACGTTATCACTAGGCCATTATGTCATTTAACAGTGTCCTCTTCTATTACATCACAGGATAGCGTGATCCAGAATCATTTATGACTAAATGTCCTGACACCTGGCATAATAAACCCTACTAGTCACAACTCACGATGTAATAAAAATCCAAATATAAACACCACTCTTCCCAAACTTTTCTAAATGTAAATGCTTAGAATGTGCTGAGCACAACTTTTCATCAAATAATCTTTTATTTTGCTTATTTGCAGGATGCTACCAGTGGATCTCACCTGACGGATTTGCAGTGACATTGTACTACAGCTTATAAATACAAAAGTCTCTCAATTATAAAAACTGATTTCTTTCTGTAAACTAAATGAATTGCACTGGCGTAGGACACAGGTGATGATAATAAGTAGCCGTCTTTTCGTTCTGAAGTAATGCTTGTCCGTACTGAATAAGTGCTGAGATGGCTTGAGTTAGGCTAAAAAAAATCGACATTTATGAGCTGAATTGAGCCTTTTCGTTCTGAAGTAATGCTAGTTAGTGCTGAAAATGATCTGAAAGGACTGAAATAAATCTGATAAGCTAACCCAGCAGGTTCTGATCTACTCCTAAAAATGCCTAAAAAAAGAACACGGTGCTGAATTAGTGATAGTCATGCTGAAAACCAGCACTGAGTTCTAGTGTGTACCATTAGACAATTCATTTCAGAACAGATTCAGAATATACTCATTATAGGATGCTAGAATTATTTCAGAATTACTGAGATTTAATTCAGAATCATAGTAAGCTTGGGATTATGCATAATTAAAATATTTTACCGAGAAAATTCAAGTTTGGCAACTGCATTTTATTGAAAACAAAAGTTAGTTGTCAGTCCCGTGCTTACAATAACAACATAGGCGAACTAAATTATTTCATTGTATTGAAATCATGTGCAGTAATGGATATATTGCCATATGTTATGCTGTGGGAGGTCGGTAGATATTTAAGACTGCTACTCTTCAAGATGGAGGCAGAAAGCGAGAATTAGAATCCTTCCAGTGCATGCGCATTGACACGCCAGATGGCAGATACAGTTGGGGGTAAAGGAAGAGATGGATATATTCGCTTTTGACTATCCCATTAGACGAATTCTCCTGATATATGCAAACAACCTTATCTAATGAATACAATTACTGGTACAGTATTCATTTGGTGGTATATTTTCTGATATCACAGTTGTCTTTGAACATGAGATTCAGAAAGCCCCCTATTTTACTCATTTTGTCCGCGTCTTCTCGTACTTATTGCTGAGTTTTGTGCACCATCATTCTTGCACAAGCAATTTCTAGCTCCATAAAATAATCTCTTTGTCCTGAGAAGCACATGTTTCTTTACGGTGAAAAATCGGATCGAGCAGTCACTTCTATAGGTGACAATGTAAGAGTTATCCGACTTTAAATGGAGTCTACTTCTTGCGTGCTTACGATAGGCCGCGATATGTATCCATCGTTCACAGAGAATATTGTTGTAGACTGAGACCTAGGGCTAAATATTTTTTATCATGCTCACCATCATTTCGAATGATGTTATGCTGGGAGGAGTTTGATTGGTATAACTCAGTGGACAAGTAGCATATCCAAAACCATTTCTTACAAGCAGTGTGTCGTTAAAGTGCTTTGCATTTTTCCTGTGACCGTCCGATCCCCTTTTTCGTATTTTACGTTCATCATACAGATATCTGTGATGAAGGTTGTAACATTCTACGGTTTTCTACTTATTTTATTACGCCTTCTCCATGTATTATTCTATTTATTATCATTCCTCTGAGTTCTGAGTGAAACAGAGCACTTCAACAGCACATGTCCACTTTGCTCTGTTCTCTGTAGTCTTTTTCAGCTGGCACCACGATTTACTATAAGCTTTCATTCGCTTCTCAAACAATCTCTTCCAAATCACCTTCGGACTCATGTCGAATTCATTGTTTCCCATTCGTGGACTTGGCATGCGATGTCATTTAAATGATCTTCTCAGCATACGTTCACTCCATCTGTATATTTGCTGGGCCGTTGATTCCTGGTTAGCTTGTGTCTGCCAGAGTCCCTTGTTTCTTATCCTTCCTTCTCATCCAGCCATCTGATCTTCAGTGTTGATCTGGCGAAAGCAGCTGATACAAGTCTTTCGGAACTGCTTTTGGTGATATGACCATCAAGTCTCTTAACCAAATAGAATCACTAACTTATATTTTATTTATTTTTATTGTAAATAATAACGTGATTCCACACCGTATTTTCGGTACAAGTATGGAATTTTCAGCATGTGATAACTGTAGCCCAAATTTTGCAGGCCGACCACTGATATTAGGTGTGCGTCGGCAGGGAATCGAACCCCGGACCGTGTGCACGATCGGCGAGAGTCCTAACCACTGTGCCACCGACGCACAAACGAAATTCCGCTTAAGAAGGACGGAATTTGAATAAGCCAAAGTGAATTTAATTAATAAACAGCTTTAACCAACACATTAGTCACCCACTTTATTTTGACTTGACTAATCAGAATGATCTGGTAGAATTTCTCACGAGAAACATCTACTTACTACCTTTGCAGCCAGACTGATAAGTAAAGAATAGTATACTAATGTAGGCTGCGTCTTAAAATAGACGCAGAGTAGCGCACATATTCGTCCAAATAATTGATTTCTGGGCTACAGATGTCGAAATGTATATATCCTGTTAATCTTGTGAAGTGTATTTAATTCGCTAATTATGTTACTAGGTTTATATGGTTGTTTTTAGTTGTCTGGATTGTTCAAATTTACCTCAGAACAAAATGGTAACTGTGACCGACTGACCGTAATATTTCAGGGAAGACGTGTGCACAACAACTTTCAACAAAATTCCCTCTTCATAAGCAGTGAACATTAGGAATTTGTGGAGTTATCGGTAGACGATAAAACCAAGTTACGTGTAGTTGGTTAATGCAATTGAAGGCGGTTCATGCTGGCAAACATATTATTATTTAGTTTTTTTGGCGTACCTGTTTTGTTATATATTCATGAAATGTAGTTTTCGAAAGAAGAATTAATTGCTGTTTTATGGTTATGTAATTTATTTTTCTTCACTCAGTGAAGTATTCTAATGCACATTGTTTGTATCGCTAAATGGATTTTAGGTGAAAACCAAACCAATAATGTTTAGGACATTTCAGTTATTCTGAAGTGCATACTGCTTGTAGACACTTGAAAAGATCATCCGGACTTTTGATTGAAAAAGCTAAAGAGTATTCGAACTATGATACTATGTTAATCCATTAAGGCAGTTGGTGGATTTGTACCTCAAGTATGAGTAGAATTGTCAGTCTTCTGCTTGAAACCACGTCACGATTTGTGGTCAGTAGGCAGATACCCTTCATAATACACCTGATTTTTAAAATCATAGAATTAGGCAAATCTCCTTGTTCACCGGTGTCCAACTTACCAAGATAAATTAGTCGGTCTCCGTGGCCTTATGGGTTCCCTGAACAAATGCAGGTAAATTTAGCTAACCATTCTCAACAAGAATAAAGCTCACTCGCTAATTTTTATTGCTAAATAAACAAGTCTTATCGAAAAAGTATGGTAAAAATGTACCTCATTGGTTCACTAAAGTAGCTTCACAGATCTTCAAACAGTTTTAGATTCAAAATCATTTATTTACTTACCAACACTTTCACGATTATGTATCTGTGGATTTTTCAAAAATCGTCTTCCACCAATTGAACTCTCACTGGAAATATCATCAAACAAGTATTCTGTCGATAACTGCCCTTTTGACTTCCTTGATGTTTCTTTCTTATTAACTGGACGTTTTATATGGTTTTTGTTGTTACTGTATGAATTCATCTATGTTGAACAATGTGAAGAAAAGTGAATGTAGAGGTTACTAACTATATTTCTCCGAAATAACTATATTTCCAATTAGTATTACTGAGTACACTAAATTTGTAACTATTTAATATCACTCCATTTTAAAGAAACTGCTAGACCAAGAATTGTAACATATTTCCCGACGACTCAAATAGATTTTAAATTAATCTTCCTCATACCCTGCCCTCGAGTGGAACCCGAAAGGGAGGCGGCGAGTTGGTCGTCCAAGGGTGACTTGGAGGAGGTCATGCGAGGAAGAGATGAAAGCATGTGGACAGACCTGGAGCAGGGTGAAAAAGTTGTCAGAAAACCGAAGTCAATGGAGGTGCGCAGCTGAAGCCCTATGTTCCTCTAGGAACTAAAGGATACAATAATAATAATAATACCCTGTCCAATGACTGTGGAATGTGAAGCATCTGCTCAAAAACCTGTTGTTATACATTAAAACTCTTATATATCAGATGGCATGTTAATTAAGCTTGTTTTCATTGTGAACAGTAGAGAATACATAGAGCGCCTTTTTCCACATTTTCTAGTTAACTGTTTAAAGAATTCCAAGAAAAAGCCACCGCCCAGTTTGTACACTTCTAAAGCTGCTTAGAACCGTAATATGACTTGGGATTGATGAAGACATTCTTTCTTATGAACAGCTATTAGCACAGTCATTTACATAGAATTTACCTCTCAGATGTCTTGACAGGGTATCAATCTAAATTGATGTGCATATTGCTCATGATGAGAGTAGATGGACACAAGGAGTAGATTTAGGTTGTTTTCCGTTACCTTCTCTGAAAGACCCGAATTGATCTCAATAACACAGGGAGCTATAGCAATTTACATAATTTATTCGTTTTCCAGTCATCCAACATCAGTTCAGTGCGCACTGTGATGATGTGTCACCTAGCGTTATGACCACGCTGCTCAATTGACTGATAGAATTCAGTCTGCACCAACCCGCGGAATACACATAATATTTGTCACTGCCTAGTGACCAATCAAAACTTACTCGTCCACCGCTACTGTAGGAAAAAAGCTCCCAATGTTCTAACGTTATTCTAACATGACTATGGATGAAGATAACTACCTGTTTCCTACATATGACGCTTCGGTAATAGTTAACGTATCTGAGTGTAACTATCCAGACAAGATGAGAAAAAAATTACTACTCAAATCCTCTAAGTGACATAAAGTAAATCAGTTCTAACTCTTCTTATGGTTTTAAGTGCTCCACTTTGAATACAGAATCATTCTTCCAAAAAATTCGAAATTGCTGGACTTTTTCCATAAAGGAGTTTGAAAACTTAGGACTAAATTGGCAATGTTTGGGATTGGGAACAAAGTGAAATTGATATCACTTATATCCTAGTGATTTAACCTTCGGAGAGATCTGACCTACAAATATTTGCTAGCTTACCGTTTAGTAACAGCTTACCCGCTAGCCATTTATCACCTACAATCCATATTCCTCACACTGAAAGTTATTAAATCAGGTGTCTCTAAAATGACTTTATTGAAAAACTTCCAGGATAATCTACGCCATTTCACATAGTGATTATTATAATCACTGTGATTCTACGTATATTTATGGGTAGTGACATATTGCATATGGCAAACAATAATGAAAGCAATGTTGGTCGCTATTTGAAAAAAGCTTTTATTCCTATAACAATGCTCTTTCAAATCTCAGTCAGCTATCTCGCAATCTATATTTTTAATTACTACACACTGTGCGCAGTTCTTATTGGCATTCTCTTCAGTGGTTAACTCTGCAAGTACCACTTCAAGTGGTTTTGTACTTGTTTTCATTATATGGAACTAATTATCTTTTAGAAAATACAAGGAAGAGCAGCACTAGTCTTTAAAGTTTCTAGCCCGATCGCAGGATTTAATAGTCTCTAAGATATCACTTTTGCAACATTTTGTGCAGGTGATTCCCTTTTATTTCTGCGAAATCTGGTAGCTTAAAATAGGGATGTTTAAACCATTATTGTTATCGATCAATTTTCCTGGGAGACATTGGTGAGATTTAGTTATGCCTACTTAGAGAAGTAAATAAAACAAACGAAGGTTAGGGGATTTAAAAAAATGTAATGAAGTTTGTCCTGTATGACAGTGACAGTACTGGAAGATATTAAACGGAAATAAGAGCAAGTTACATACATTTTACAACTGCACTTCATAAAATTTTCACTTGGAACCTTTTGTAATCCTACACTCCGTATTAGTTTCTTTATTGGATAAACGACACAGTGAAACAATATTATTTATAAGGTGATGCTCTGAATACAATTATGTTCATCCCAATGTCACATGTAACCACATAACTTCGAAAGTCGATTTTGATATTTCACCTTCTTCTTTTTCATTTTTTCAAGGGCTTTAGAATTTCCCCGATATCCTAGACTGGTGCTGAACCACTCCCATTGCACGTATTGTCAATTCATTCGATAAATAAATTTTCAATTATGAATCTTTCCTTTCACTCTCTGGCAGTCTAATTAAAGGCTGTCATCTTGTCCCACCCTATTGTACACTAGTGCAAGACTGCAAACAGCTGTACAGCTAAGCTTTTCTTATCAAAGACCAAGTTTTGTGTCTCGCTAATCTTCTTCCACAAAGAAGGAAAAGATTTTGAATTATAAATTATCAACTATTTTCTAGTAGTGAAATTCGTACTTGACTGAAATTATAACTTCAGATATGCGATTTACACTTTATTTAATTTTTAATTATTGCTTCATAATAAATACAATTATCAGGCCACGCTGGCTGATTCCAATAATAAACCGTTGTTTAATAAATCAGAAAATATCCTGATCTACATAACTGTCTATCAAAAAATGTGATAATCGGTGCATTCGGACCCTCTTCGAACAAGTTTGAATGTCTCACAAACCGCGGGTAATACACATTAACTTAATGCACAGAACTGAAAGCTAGACAAAAACAATTATTTTAGAGCATACTTTGCACTATCGAGGGCTTCCTAGTGAGAAATTTTGAGGTATATGTTTAATTAGAGTCATAATAATATTATTGGGTCCGGGGAAATAACCTTTAGGTAGCTCAGGGTATGAAGATATCTAAACATCTTAAATCTTACAATATTAGTTTCTTGAGTAAATTAGAGTATTTTGAGACACTAAAATGCTTCAAATCAATGACACACTAAGTAAGACATTAAAAGTCCGCCTTCAAAGACTCATTCGTTGTTCATACCTTGATGCAGTATAACAAGTATCCATATGAAATATACAATATCGTTTTTACGAGCTAGTATTAACCAATTTGATTTCTTTGTGTTCGCTTCTTGATCGTGAGGTATAGGTTCCTGATCTTTGGTAAACTTCTGCGTAGCTCGTCCCGCCACCTGACTGTTGTAGCTTCGGTTGACTCCAAAAGTAGTAGTTCTGAGATTAGTTATATGTGCTTTGTAGTATGAGGTGTGTTGAGACTGTTACTACTGTGAATGGAGTTGATCTTTTCACCAGTTAGTCCCCCAGTATCGTTGTCACGTGAAAAGAGATAGTAACAATGATAGATATAATTAATGAAGTCATTCAAACTAACAGACAAAAAGAAATAAAGAAAACGTAAAAACAGACAGCTGATCGAATTTGAATTTGATATATATATCGGTTTTAATAATAAGTGGTCCAGAATTCTTAGGTCTGTCTGCAGCCTATCTGTGTCCTCAGGACACTACCGCCTTCCATATCTTTACATCGTCAGAGTATGGAAGAATCAGGCAGTTTAGACGCATCGTAGATCACTGATAATAATCAAAACTTCATTGGTCCTAGGATAGAACCCTGTGACACTCCTGATGACGAGCCGTATCAAGATCATCGGAATCGATTGACCTTAGTGCGAAATTGCCTTTCAGCTAAGTAGTCCTCTAACCATGACAGAAGTGGCTAACCTATACCTGTCTGACTCATTTTTTGTAGGAGAATGTCATGGTGAACTGTGTCAAATGCCTTCTCAAGGTCTAGGAAGACCATGTGGACTGGAAAATTCATATTCCAGCATGATCTCCAATCGTCCAAGCTGATGGTAGGTTTTTATACACTAGATCTGCCTTTCCTGAAACCGTGTTGTGCTTCATGGAGTATATCAGGCCTATCGAGGCGCTCCCTGATGTGATCGTCAATATTACTTTCCAGTACTTTTGATACCACTGAAGTAGAGCTACTGGTCTCTAACTATTGGCATTTTGCCTATCCTCACCCTTGAAGATCGGAGAAAGGATGGCTCTTTTCCACTCCCTTGCAGTTTCCCCGAATCCATTAAGTGTTGAAACAAGTCACATAAAGGCCTACAGAGAGCTTCGGCGCACTGTTTCAGAACAAATGACCTGATGTCGTCACAGCCTGGGGACTTCCCAGTTATGAGTCTCTGTAGCTTTCTCAGGACCATTTCCAGGTTTATTTGAGGAGTAGCCACTAAGTCTTCCTCCAGTGAAATAGTAGTGTCACCATTTTGGTCCATACCGTTATTACCCACATCGCTGTTTAACTGTTTGGCGAAGGCTATACTGAATGTTTCAGCCATTTCCAGACTAGTGAGATAATGACCATTTGGGCCTACTAAGATGCATACCCCCTTTTCGGTTGGTATTCTTTCCGATATGAATCGGTACAGGTTTTTGGGGTTTGCTAAGAACTTTTGGCAAGGCTAGTCTGGAATGACCTCCTGTCACTCTTAACTCTCGCGTTGCACCGGTTTCTGAGTTCCAGGTATGCGTCGTGGTCGGTCCGACTCTTGGATACGCGCCACATAAACCAAGCCTTCCGCTTTATTTGCAGAATACGTTGCGTGCCTCTCTTCAGCCATGATGACTATCTTTTCGGCTGTGTTGTAACTAAAGGCAAGGTATCCGAGATTGCCGTAGGAACAATCTTTTTACCACTTCCTAGAGTTCATCCACAGATACCTCATCCCATGCTACGGGCCAATTTGCTTCGGACGAGAGCCTCCGCATTTCAGCATAGTCTGCCTTGCTATAGCATGGACATGGTCACGTAACGTCCAACTGCAAGTACTCACGGAGAACAAGATCGAATTTTTTGACTGCATGGCCACTACTTTCTAGGGGAGTCATGCTGTGGATCTTTTCGACGAGTAGTTGGGCACTAGTTAGAATGTAATCGAGTTTGGATGACTTTCCACTGGGGCCTAATGTCGTCTCCAACATTCTCTGTTAATCCTGTACTTCGAACAGATTGCAGCAGATTTGGCCGAACTTCTCCTTAGCATACCCTGAGTCAGGGTTCAGTGATGGGGCATTGAAATCTCCGGCTATGGTGATTTGGCCATAGCCCAAGCCCCGTATCCCTGTGATGGTGCTGTGCAGTAGCTGGTTGCGGTCTATCCCACAGGTGGGTGATCGGTAGACGACACCTAGTAAATGCTTGTTGCGGCCTACGGTGAAATGACGCCATATGGAATCTGTGAGTTCAATAAGTGGTAGGTCCGTTGTATTAAAGCATTTAAGTCGTTCGCTAAAATATATGACAACTCCCCACTTTGTTATCCCTGTCTCTCCCGACCAGAGACATATGTTTACATTGATTCCGTTGTTGGTGACAGTGGGTGTTAGCCAGAATTCAACAGGGATGATCATTTTAAGGTGGAGGTGTGACTGAAGGTTTCTGAGTTCACCTGATTCCACTCTCAGCCCCCTCATATTGCTATATAGCCAGCTGAGAGTGAGTCCCATAACTTCGGTGGGTTGCGGGGTAGTTGACGTTACGTCGTCTGCTGGTAGGGGAATAATTGTTGGGACAAGTTGGCCGATTCCTATGGAACCGACCTGTCAATGTAGCTGAAGATTGAACGATCAATTCATGGTTGTTTGCTCAAAATGAACTTCCCCAATTTTCGCGGAGGCATCAATCAGCCGGTCATCGTCTCATCGGTCGCTGTTCAGAAAGAAGTCAGGAGAAAACCGTCAGAAGTAATATTGTGATTTATTATTGTAATATTTGTTCATAGACCTTGGTTGTATATTGGCTATATGTTGGTGTTAGAATAAATAATTCTCGAGTCGCCAATCGGTGTTTTGGTTTTTGCGTCCGTTCGCACTGGGCGTTTCTGAGAAGCTTCGAGGAACAGCGTGAGTCCCAGGGTAGCAAGAGCTGGGCATTAACGGTTTATGAGACGAGGCTGACAGTTTCTGACGGTACGGTGTCAGTTTCTGACGGATTCGGACAGTTGGTGAAAGTTTGGATAGTCGCCGTTCATTTTATCCTGGCGCCGGTCAAGTCCTCTTTGAACAAGCAATATCTGGAACTTTTTTGGAATTGGGTCAAGTTCAACAATGCCTGGGTCAAAGAAGGGACAGAGAGTCTTGGATGCAAACAGGAAAGTAAGTCATGGTGACTTGTCTGTTACTTGTAACGATGTGTCTGATGTTAAACATGATATGGTTGATGTTACCGTTTCGACGTCCAGGGATAATAGGAACATCAAACTCCCTAAATTTGAACCACGGTGTTTCGACGGGAACCCAGCTGATTATTTACAGTTTGTAAAGTAGTTTGAGATCATGCTGAGTAGTTTTTTATTAAGTGATGAACTGAAATTGATGTACTTGATGAGGTACTGCACTGGAGTTGCCTCAAGAGCTATACAGTGCGGTGAGCTCATGCCCCCTAACGAAGGATACTCTGAGGCCAGGAATATACTGCGTCAAAAATTCGGAAGACCTTCGATGATTGTAGGGAAATTATTTAGGGCTGTTAAAGGTAATGGTAGTCAATTACAAGATGACTCCAAGGCACTCACTGAGTATCTGGATAATCTGATCACTTACAAGAATGTATTGATTTCGATGAATTGCATGAGTGATCTGAACTCAAGTTCCGTCCTAGAGGTAATAGCGAGACGCCTACCTACTCGACTGCAAAGGAAGTGGGTAAAGATAAGATCCCGTGTGAAGGTATCGAGCCAAAGTTCGATGATATTCTGAAACTGGTAAACAATAGTGTCAATCAATCTATGAGCAAGTTTGCCAGTATATTGCATCCCACCCCTAGAATAGAGCAGTCTGAGGGTAAAACGCAAGCATTGATGATGAAAGGGTCTCAGAGAGGTGGATATCGAGAAGGATCTATGGTGTTTAGCAATGCATATAGACCTAGTGAGTGTAACAGCTTTCGTGGTACATCCTCAACAGATAAGTTACAAGATGCAAGACAAACACGGTTGTGTTTTACGCGTTTGCAAGAAGTGCATACAATGATGAACTGTGAATCAGTGAGCAAGTTTAGGGATAAGCTAAATGTAAACTCCAGGCCTGACTCCGAATTGTGTGACGATAACGGTGTGGTCAAGAAGTTTGTAGTTGCAACTGGTAAGCCATTGTTGAATAGAGTGTCGCAGAAGAGAGTTACAGTCTCAGAGGACAGTTCTGACTCCACAAGTTTACAAGGTATTACTAGTCAGAGTGAAGTTATAAAACCTTTAACGATTTGTGAGGAGGAACCAAAATTGTCTACTTCTGTTATTAAAGAGTTTGAAAATGATGGAGTTGACGGGAAAGTGAATATTCGTGATAATGATCATGATGAGATGAGGGATATGCCTGCTACTGATAACTTGAACAAAGGTTGTGTACAACTTGAACGTGAAGTAGAATTAAATGCAGATGCAGTTGCAGAAGGCACGCATACTTGTCAGACCGTCAGTGTAATTGATCACCGTGTAGCCCATCTATCATCAGATGCTAGTGCTAAACCGGAGCCAATAGTAAAAGACAGCAGTGGTGGTAATCTTGCAGTTAGACAACTATCCGAATGCCGAACCACAACAGCTTCTGACCCACCGCTAAGTTCATCAACTTGTATCAATCAGTCGTCGTCGGTGTTGTCATCCACAATGAAACAGACGCCCATCAACTCAAGTATCTTGTGCAATGACGATGATAGTATCGGTCTGTTTGAGAAGACGAAAGATATTGGTCAGTTTAATGGGGATAAGCCAAGTGTGTACGAGAGGGTAATTGTTAAATTGACTTGCATGAATAAAGACATTTCTAGTTTCAAGTTATTGTTTAAATGTTATTATCTTTAGTGTGAATTACTCTGTTTCTACGCTTGGTTGGTCAGATACGTCGTGTGTTTCTTCGTCATATATATTCTACGATACAATGACATGGGCGTGTTACCGTTCAGATTTGAGGATATAGCTCATAGAAGGAAGTTAGCAAATGAACTCTGCGACGATTTTCCAACCTAGGGCGTCAACCTGAGAAGGGTTGTAGGCGTACTGCTGTAAGTCCTACAATTCTTCAAAGGGTAGCGCATCAATGAGCAGTCCAATGTGCTTGGTGTGTGATTTTGTACATATGTTCATATTGTATATACTAAATTGGTATCATCTTTCATCTATCTGTTGGTAATTCTGTTTGTGTCCGGACGTCTTCCACTTGTATCATCAACCTGAGAAGGAATGTAGGCGTACTGCTGTAAGTCCTACAGTTCTTCAAGGGTAGTTCGTCAAAGCAGAATCCACAACATTTGATGTATTGATTGTACTTATGTTTGTGTTAAATAATTGTGTGAGTTCCAATTATTGTAATTGTTGGTTAATCTTGTTTGTGTCCGAACATTCCACAATTTACAATCGTCAACCTGTGAAGGGTTGTAGGCGTTCTGCTGTAAGTCCTGCAATTCTTCAAAGGAATTTCATCAAGACATGATCAGCGAGGTTATTTGTACCGTTTGTATATACGTGTGGTGTGTCATATCAATTGGTGTATTTTGGATTCATTGTGTTTACTTGTTGTTTTCGTATCTTGTTGTTATTGCGTAATTTTGTTAAATTTTTCGTCGTGCTTGCTTCTGAAGTTGTTTCTAGTATTCTACATTCGTGAATGAATTGATTGGTGTTAAAGACAGCAGATGGGTCGTATACGCCGGGGAGGCTAGGCTATTGCTGAGAATGAAATGCACACGGAGATAACTGTTAGGTGCGGTCCCACACGCCGGGGAGAAAGAGTGTAAACGACTGAAGCTCGCATGCGTCACCGTTACTAGAACCGAGGCAGAATGAGTGACAAGCGATTGCAGTGGTAATTGGTAGTGAGTAGATAAGAGGATGTGCGTAGAGTATCATGAGGTGGTGCTATGGTCATGTTGCATTCTGCAAGAGTCATTCTAGCAAGTGGCGATTGTGTTGCAAGATGTCGAGAGGATACCTTTAACTGGAAGGTGTAGGTCGTCACTGGTGTGAGATTGTGCTGTGGGTATGCTTGTGGTGTGTTGGCTTTTCTGTTTGTTTTCCATTTCAGCTTTGTCCGTGTGACCCAGGTTCTCGCAATGGCATCCAAGTCAACGTGTATTGGTCGTGATGGAAAAAAGGGGTTGGATCCGTATTTTGCCGGGGAGTGTCAATGTAGTTGAAGATTGAACGATCAATTCATGGTTGTTTGCTCAAAATGAACTTCCCCAATTTTCGCGGAGGCATCAATCAGCCGGTCATCGTCTCATCGGTCGCTGTTCAGAAAGAAGTCAGGAGAAAACCGTCAGAAGTAATATTGTGATTTATTATTGTAATATTTGTTCATAGACCTTGGTTGTATATTGGCTATATGTTGGTGTTAGAATAAATAATTCTCGAGTCGCCAATCGGTGTTTTGGTTTTTGCGTCCGTTCGCACTGGGCGTTTCTGAGAAGCTTCGAGGAACAGCGTGAGTCCCAGGGTAGCAAGAGCTGGGCATTAACGGTTTACGATACATTGCTGACAGTAGTTCGTCTGAAAGGAATTCTTGTTCTGCATGGCTGCTGCACAATACATGCATCACATACACTTCTTTGGTTTTCAGCCATGGAGGTGAATCGATTGGTTTTTACGACCAAGTAATCTCTTCGAAAGCACAAATTACTAAGTCTAATTAATGTTGGTTCTATTCATGGAGTGAGGCACGTATGTGTAGGGGGTTCTCTAAGATGCAGTTGTTTTCTTGCGCTAGGAATCTGAAAAAAATAGTTTAATGGGAATCGCAGTAAGTGATAATGATTAAATGTACTGAAAAAGTTCCAAGGAATTTAATTTCGACATACCCACTTTACAACTACTGTCATAATATCCTAAATGTCACTGTCCGGAATAGGTGGTATGTGAGATTAGTCAACCTACTGCAGCTTCCGTAATATCCAGGCGTCAGTATTGTAATTGAAAGATGAGATAGTGGGTGACATAAGGAGACATAAATATCGTCGATCATTTTTCAGCATCTGGGATAGGTGGGCCTGAAAAAGAACCACCGTCTGCGTGACAAAAGAAACACAAATATAATAATGACAGATGAACTTCACTTTCGAAGTTCGACTCTACCAGATGATGACTAAAATTGATGCACACTTCTAAAAGGAAGCTTAGACGAAGTAGCCGTTAATTAAGTAAGTGTCTAGCTATTTTATTTTTATTTACTTACACTAGCTTTGGTCGTATTTTTGTACCGCAAAGTGGTACTACGACAGTTTGTTCCTGTTAATCAGTTTCTGTTTGCAGAAACTGCGTTTAGTGTATTGTGAAGTAGAAGCAGAGCTAGTTGAACCGAAACGATGTTTGGTTTAACGTATACAAGATGTGGAGTCTTACAACGGATATAAATGATAAGGAAAAAGAGATGGTCATATATGAGAGATAAACGGGTATTAGGAAGACAGAGAAAAAGTAAAGGAATAAGAGTTTATGAAGAGAGTTTGGTGGTGACTTCATCAATTTGACTGTGTGATTCACGGATATTACAACAATAAACTCTGCTTCTCAGATTTAGATTTATGGGTTGGGGAAAGGATGGATGGAGCCTGTTCTTATCCTTTTCTAGTAATTTTTGTGTTTGTATGATAAAGTAATCATGCCGAGAATCATACGTGATGCCTTCCTTTGGACACTTTCTAGAATATGTGAGTGCCTTTTAAGAACAGGACTGGCTGCCTGGATGTAGTTATCCAGTCTTGACCTCACTAGGGATGTATATAGGAAGGCGAACATATCTCTGGTGAAATAAATAGGAGAGGCCCGATTACCGTGCCTTGTGGCACTCCGCTACGCACTGCTATCCAAAATGAGAGTTTTGAGTTGGTCATAACCCACTGCCTCCTATCTACGAGGAATTTCCTGAGCCAGTTCAGTAAGCTGCCTTTGATGCCGAAACTTTCCTATTTCGTGAGCACTCTTAAGTGGGGAGCTTTATCGAAGGCTTCTCTGAAGTCTATGAAGATGACGTCAGCGGGCCTTCTGTTGTCCCTTGATTTGACCCAGTTCTCTTTTGCAATGAGATTTGACAGGTATGAGAGGTATCCTCGAAAGCCATGCTCTGCTCCAGATATGCCATGCTATTTTTCTTGATGATTCTTTCCAGTGTCTTGACTAATATACCTGTAATTTGAAGGGCTTTGTCTTTGTCCTCCTTTGTGGATGGGGATTACGATGGTCTTTAACTGTCACGTGTACTACCTCAATCCTATTTATTCAGCTTAGACCAACAACAGTGTAGAATGGTCGGAAAATACAATATACATACTAGACTTACTAGAAATCATGTATGAAACACTTATGAGTGATGAGGGTCTTTGGTAGCGTCCCCAGGGTAAACTGGCCTACTTGGGCACTGAATGTTAGCATCTAGTTTTGAATAATGAGGTTGTAGGTTACTGCCTTTTAGGCATGTTTTATCGCTTAAGGTTTTCAGCGAGTAGGAGTGTTGTTTAACAACCTATGCCATATGAAGGTCTCAGAAAGAAGAGTAACAATTCGAGCGTTTGAAACTTGTGTACCTATAAATAAAAATAACTTTGGCTTTCGTCTGAATAAGGAAACTCAACTAAACAGTGATCTTAATGCAAAGTGGTTGATATGGCACCCTTAATAAGTAACGAGAATAAGATATGAATGCAGTGTTCAATATCCCATGCCAACACTTCTGAAGGCCACAATTGCTGAGGTTAGTTTGGAATTAGACGGTACTATAATGATGAAGGCGGTGTAGTTTTGTATCAATGAACTAGTAAGTAAGATGTTTTATCTTTCTGGTAACTACAAAGGATGGATGCTACACTCAGCATTCAACAGAATGACCTGAAACAATCAGTCAGGTTGTTCACGGTTCAGAATGAATTTATGCTAAATATGACAAATTATAACGTCTTGGAAAACTGAGACATATTTCGCCAGACATTGAGTATGGTATCTATGAATTACACATATCTAAGTTCTTCGGTGCGTCTTAATGAGGTCATGCTGGTAGCTTTGTATATTTTACATCCATGGATAAACATCCAAGGTAAACTTAACAAACTGCAGTTTCCAGTGTTGGTTTGTAAGGATTTGATTGATTTCAGGATTTCATCATGAGCTGACATTAGTTAGAGAACCATCATCATGAGCTGACATTAGTTAGAGAACCATCATCATGAGCTGACATTAGTTAGTTCTCTAACTAATGTCAGCTCATGATGAAATCCTGAAAACTGCAGTTTGTTAAGTTTATCTTTAAACCTATTTTGGGAAGGAGATAATTAATTTTGAGCGTTGATAAGATCAACAAACTAGTTAGGTGGCCAAAGCAGCGATTCAGGTATGCACAAGTACTTTTCGGGTTTTTCACAATTCGTTTAGAAAACCGCTCCTCAGAATTGATTCAGATTTATTGGTTGAGGATAGAAGGCTTGCAGCCTATGTTAATCCTTTTCTAGTAGATTTCTGTGGTTGTCCAAACCCTTCTTGAACGAATCAGTTGAGGTTGCAGACACCACTTCTTCTGGGAGTCGGTTCCAAGAGTTTATGACTCGATGTGAGAACCAGTACTCAACAGCAATATGATTTCTCCTTGGCTTTTGAACTCTCCTGCTATGTCCTCTAAGGTGTTCCGACCTGGTGGGAAGGAAAAGAGAGAATAGGTCAGGTCCGTAGTCATTATTTAAAATTTTAAACATTGTGATTAAATCTCCTCTCTGCCTACGGTATGACAGTGAGAAGAGATTTAAACTATCTAGTCTTTCCTCATATGATAAGTTAGCTATGCCGTGAACCATACGTGTTGCCTTCCTTTGAACACTTTCTAGAATGTGTGAATCCCCTTTTAGACACGGACTGGCGGCCTGGATGCAGTTTTCCAGTCTTGACCTAACCAGAGATGTGTATAAGGAGGTGAACATATCTCTGGTAATTCTTGTAAAGGCTCTGCGAATCGCCCATAAGGACCTGAAACTACGTGCAGCCACCGCGCGACAGTGTGCTGTAGTTTTTAAGTCGTGGCTAACTATGACACCTAAGTCCAAGTGAGTCTGAACTGATGGAAGTGTTATTCCCTCTAGTTCGTAGGAGCTCGTGCTTGCTTGTCCAATGCGCATGGTTGCACATTTTGCCACGTTGATCGGGAGCATCCATTCAACAGACCACTCCGACAGTTTGTTGAGGTCGTCTTGCAAGGTGAACGTATCACTGTTGCCCTTCAGCTCCCTCCAAATTTTTAAGTCATCTGCGTATAGGACCATAGGGGAGTCGGTGAGCAGAGGTAACTCATTGATATACAGAATAAAAAGGAGAGGACCGAGAACCGTGCCTTGTGGCACTCCGCTACTTACTGCTGTCCAGGAGGAGAGTTTTGAGTTGATCCTAACCCTCTGCCTCCTATCTATGAGGAATTCCCTGAGCCAGTCTAGTAGTCTGCCTTTGATACCAAGACTTTCCAATTTCATGAGTAGTCTTTTGTGAGGTACTTTATCAAAGGCTTTACTGAAGTCTATGAAGACGACGTCAACGGGTCTTCTGTTATCCTTTGATTTGACCCAGCTTTCTCTTGCAGTCAGGAGATTTGACAGGCATGAGAGGTTCCTCCGGAAGCCATGCTGTGCTCCAGATAACAAGCTGCTATTTTCCAGATAAGCCATGATGCTTTTCTTGATAATTCTTTCCAGTGTCTTGATTAAAGTGCTGGTGAGACTGATAGGCCTGTAATTTGAAGGGCTTTGTCTTGATCCTCCTTTGTGTATGGGGGTTACTATGGCGTCTTTCCAATCACGTGGCAACACTCCATTTAGGAGAGATAGCTTGAAGATCGTGGTCAAGGGGCCGGCTATGTGGGCTGATAGCTCCTTGAGAAGCCTTGGATGAAGACTGTCAGGACCCATTGATTTTCCTGCATCTAGTTTCATTAAGAAGTTGAGCACGATGCCTTGGTCGATGTCAACGGAATCTATCCCATGTTCTTCTGATGCAGCCAGAGCTGATCCTATAGGCAGTGATGACTCCTGAGTGAAGACTTGGGAGAAGTAGTTTGCCATTGCTTCTGCTTTTTCTTGATCTTCTTCGATTGTATCTTTGTCAATAATCAGGTTTGGGACACCATTGGGTGTTTTATTCCTGAAATTCAAGTACGAGAAAATTTTCTTAGGTTGTGCCTTTGCATTTTGGGCCAGGTGTGTCTCGAACTTCATCCTTGATTGGCGGATTTCTGCGATAGCTTTATTTCTAGCAGTAGTATATAATTCCCTGGTCTCAGAAGTCTCAAGTGTTGCAAACAGGTTCCAACATTTGCGTTTACGTCTGAGTAACTTACGAATCTCCCGGTTTATCCAAGGGGGGGAATGTTTCCGACCCTTTGGAACAGACCAAGGGATGAAGGGTACAGTTACTTGGGCGTAAAGTTGCTTAAATTGGTTCCATGCGGCTTCTACTTGGGACTCTGGATTGATGTACCAGTTTACTGAGTTGGCTGCTGAGACGATCGCATTTATGTCAGCTTTCCAAACGTTTGGTCGAGCTGGGGTTTTGGCCCTTGCTGCCGTTGCTGTGAACTTGAAAGTGAGCACAGCATGGTCACTTCTTCCTAACGGAGGAAGATGTTGTATGAGATCCACATCCTCACCGTGTGAGAACACTAGGTCCAGAGTTGATGAGGAGTGCTGTGAGTCATAGCGCGTGGGCTTAATGATATGTTGGACTAGGGCTAGCGATATACTAGATTCTAGCAGTTTATGGTCAAAGGAGTTGACTGAAGATGGAGTTGTTAGGCTCGACCAGTCAACTGTTGGGGCGTTGAAGTCACCGACTACGAGACTTCGACATTTTGAAGTCCAGGAGCCTAGCTTCTCTATTAGGAAGTCGTCTGCACTGCAGTCAGGACTGCGGTACACAGCAATGAGGTCAATGTCTTGGCCTATGCATTTAAGTCTGCAGCGTAGAAGTTCGCACGACTCACTTTCGTGGGCGAGTGCTTCGATACTACGCACGGTTAAGCCTTTCTTGAGGTAGATGACTACGCCCCCTCCTTTGCGGTTTAGTCGGTCTACCCTGTGCACTTCGAAGTTTGGCAGGTTAACTTCGTTGTCAGTGACATCGGGTGTGAGCCATGTCTCTGTGATAATAATTACATCCGGGTTTCCGGTTTCTATCATGTTTGCCAGCTCAGTCCTTTTATTTAACAGGCTGCGGGCGTTTGTGTAGCAGACTGTTAATTCAGATTGGTGCTTCCCCGGCCCACCCACAGAGGTTTCGGGATCATTAAACTGCGAACTCGGACAACCCGAAAACCCTTAATCTTAAGGTTCTTCTCACCGTTCCGGCGTCGCTCACTTAATTCTAGTGCCGCAGCCTGTCTTTTGACACGGTCTGCCAGGCTTAAGTCAGCGCGGACATATATCCCTGATCCTTTGAGAATATGAGAGTTGCTTAGAATAGCGTCCCTCTCCGCTTTAGAGTTTAGTACGACTTTGAGGAGACGTACAGGTTCACTTACTGTAGGGTCAGGCTTTTGACCTATTCTGTATACGCTGTGTATAGTAATGCCTGATACTGTTTGTGGCAGTAGCTTGTCTAAAAGGGGCTTGACCAAGTTAAGGTCATGCTCGAATCTGGTCTTAGGGTCGAGAGCCAGTGACTCCTCCACTTTGTGGAGAATGAGAGACCTATCAGAGAGATCGGGTTTGCTTTCCGTTACTTTCTTGCCCTGAGGCGTAAGTGTGTTTCTATCCTTCTTGGGCGGTGTGGCCGAAGTGTTATCCTTATCTCGCTTTTTGCGAGAGACTACGGTGCGCCATTCATTGGCGTCCTCCTCGCTAATCTTAGTGGGGTTCGTCTGTCTGCTGCTCACCGGTGTGGATGAGGCTTGTTCCGCCAGTCCCTGGGCGACTGGAGCTGCAGGTTTTCGACCCCTAGTACGCCTCTTCTTCACGGCAGTCTTTCCATTACTGTCACTGGAGGGCTCATCCAGTATCGTGGGGGCGACCTGGGTGTCTGTAATATGGTGGGTGTTCTTCTGTGCTGTAGAGCACTCACTTATTGGCAAGGTCGCATCTGGGACATGTGCTGTTTTGTCAATGACGCTAGTCACGTCATCGCTATCTGAGCAATAGTCGGTATTCTTCTGTGGTGGAGGACGCTTGCAGTCCATGAGCTTTAAAGCCCCACTAAGAGTAGCTATGGCTTCTGTAATACGGAGTTTAGTTGTACTACAGCAGTCGTTGCATAACCAGTTCGCTAGAGGTTTGCAGCAGCGTTTGTATGCTGCTGGAGTAAGGTTCGTGCACATACTGTGAAACCATCTCTTGCAGTTATCACACTGCATTCCCTCATCCACTGGAAACTGGCACATAGCCCTTCCGCAGCGGTTTCTTTTAATAGGCATTTTATTTAAAACGAACCAGGAAAAGTTAAATACAACTTCAAATATATATATATAACCTTTGTAAATCAGTGATAAAAGCTAATGAGTGCACAAAGATAGATATATGTGGCTATTATGTTATAAGAACACTTATTATAATTAATAGACTCAGATCTGAAACGTAAACTAACTTCGACCAGAATAAACTGATTTAAAGTTAAATCTGTGGACTTTTGAAGCGTATAACACAACAAAATCCAATTATAAACAAGAGCGTGAAAATTAACTCCCTTTTCAAAGTTCGCGCGGTAGCGGAGTCGGTGGCATAGCGGTTAGGACGCTCGCCGACCATACACATGGTCCGGAGTTCGATTCCCGGCCACAGGACGCACTCCTTTACCTCGCTAAGCCAGAAATAATACTGGTGAAGAGGAAAGGTTGGGCATGAGGCTAGCAACCCCATCCCGTAAAATAAACACTGCTACAGAAACGTCAAGCCACTAGCTTGAAGCCCTATGTTCCACTGGGAACGTGAAGGACAAAAATGCGTGTCGAACCTTAATCTTTCAGGACGACCCACGTAAGAGGGGCAGTCAGTCTCTTTTCGTTAATGCCTGATCCTGCAGATTACAAAGGGTAGATGACTTGGATGTGTACTACTGAGGTCATCTTATGGATTCTCACACAATTCTGTTTGCTAGCTTTTTGTACTGGATGGAAAAACGAGTGCTGTAGGCTAAAGTTTAGTTGTACGTCGTTTTCCTTAGGCAGAGTTCCATGGATCATACAAATCAGTGACTCGAAATATCAAATATGACTGAAAATTCTTATCAGTTGCGAATATACTGCAATTTCCTCCTCCCCTACTTTCCCAAAATTAATATAAATTGATAAAGGCACCTTAACTTCTGTTGACATGTGCGTGTTTGTCTTTATAGTCACTATCCTTAATCATTCCACTTCTTTTGGTTCTTTACTGTTTTTTGTGTGGCAAATGTCTCATAACCGAATTCGACCTAGTTTGCATTTGAATAAAATAATTTAAGTGATGAAGAAGAAATTTCAGTCATGCCAATATGTGTGCTAACAGTTATAAAAGACCTTAACTTGAGGACTTCAAATTCCTGAAGTCGAGCATATTTTTATCATCTTCGGTTTCTCATAAAGCTCTGAATTCTCGTATAATCATGACTGATCACAGTATTAGGTATTAAACTAAACATGTTTTATTAACATGTAACTGTATACGACTTCATCCATTCGACTTACTGTAATTCTTAAGAGCATAAAAAGAATGCGAACCAAAATAAGACGATAGTAAGATATAAGACTTGGAATAGAGGTGGTGTACTGAGCGTGTGTGTGTGGAGGGTTAATATAATGCTTAAAATTTGAAGCCATTAAGAAAAGTAGAATACAAATTTCTTAGAGTCAGTCTTCCATAAAAATAAACACCTGAAATGGTAATACAGCAAAACTAAAGCACTGTTTTCTGAGGAAACATGTTACTGCTGTTGTCGAGTAAGTAATACTTCATTCTTAAATATTAGAATATATTACTTGCACTATGGAGCTAGCTGTTTGCCGCTATGCAGTCAACTTTTATCGAGTAAGAGAACGTCATAGCACTACTATTTCCTTAATTAGTACAGTTCTTTGAGTAATAACGTTATGTTAGCATGCAGCCGGTTCTAACCAGCATTTGTCGGTTGAGACATCTATTTCGCAAGGGTTTATGCTTGTCCCTACTTAATAGAAGCTGGATTGATAAATCAAGGTTACAACCCGTAAAGTATCTTGATGTCAGTAAAATTACAATTTTAGCGAATATATTACATCCTGCCATTGTATACACTTATTATTCAATAAATTACTTTAATAAGTACCACTAGTAGCAAGACAGCATTTTTAACTGATACAGTTTATTTCATAAGTCGTTACATTGGTTGTTAATTTTTGTAGAAGTTTAAAATTTCTGATGACATTTTTAGTAATATTTTTTGGCTATTAACTATATAAGCAATATATGTTTTTCCGTGAATGTTTTTATAACCAGGTTTATTCGTAATTACTTGAGATTGATCCTTCTGTGAATAATGGAGGAAAATGCACAACGCAAAGTTATTAAACAGCGTCTCAAACAATTTTATGGAAGTGATGTCGGAAACTCTGTGGACAATGATCCATTAAATATTGACAGCTCTTCCTTTGACATACAAATGTACTTAGACAAAAGCTTCAAAACTAAAGATCTTTCTGATCTGATGTCTGAAGAAAAAGCTTTAAGTGAACAAATTCGCAGCTTGGATTCTGATATGCAAACATTAGTGTATGACAATTACAGTAAATTTATCAACGCAACAGACACTATTAGAATGGTAGGTTTACTTTTTATACTTGAGTACACACTTTGAAGATGAAATCAAATTTCAGTTATGTTCGCGCAGAAATGAATTCATTATTACAGAATATTGACTCTATTGTCTCACTTTCTGAAGTAATCAATGAAAACTTAACAGACAAACGGAAGAAGCTGAGAACGCTGACAGCAACTCACCTGACTTTGAATAAAGTAGGGTTCTATCTGTGATTACTTAAAGTCAAATTAATATTTGTAGCTGAACTATTTAGTTGAACTGCCAGTTAGCTTGAGAAAGTATATGAATAAATGTGAATGGGAACAGACTGTGGCAGATCTTAATAAGGCGAAATTCATTTTAAAAAGTTATCATAATACCCCGTCATTCAAAAGTATTCGAGAAGATTGTGCTGAGATTCTTACAGAAATATGTGCAAGACTTTGGCGTCAGTTTGATGAGTCCGTAAGTTTGTTAAATTTTTTATCAAGACTTTTAGAATGATGCAGTTGAATGTTCCAGCCATTTAAAATTTTTGCAGCAGCTTGGGTTTTCCAGAAAAAAGTTATCAACGGCCTTGCTACGTTTGTGAGTAACAATACATTCATTTTTTCGTGTGCTTCTATTACTCACTATTTATTGTTGATGCTGAGGTGCGTATTTATCAAATGTGATATAATGTATGGGACTGCCAGGAATAATATAATGTTATGTATAAAGCCATTTATTTATTATTACTTTTATTATCAAATAAACTACACCTTAACATAACGCCGTATCCAGTGCCTTCTTCACGTAAATAGATGTGCACCACCAAGGAAAATAACAGACGTAGTTGATATTTCACTTTAGTATTATGTTTCACACGTCGAATTTCAAGATTCGGTTTTCTAGAACCTTTCCGTTTCAACTCAAATTGTAGTCATTGTGACTCTTAGTGACTTTGTTCTTTATGTTTCTCTTCTGTTCTATTTCTGACTAGGACTAAACGTCAAATTAACCAACGTTTGGCTTATATGAAGATTTTGGTGTGTGAAGGTGACAAATCAAATATTCCCAAAAATGAGATCTTTCATCCTACCGAAAATAATGTTGATTCTTCTCTGCAAGAGGCTATTTCAGATGAAATGGTAACTTGATATTTTTTGTAACCAAACGCCTTTAAATACAAGTGACATGGAATTTTGTCGCAATAATCACAAAATGGCACTTTAAATTTTGTTGCATGTTGTGAATGGGAGACGATGTATTGATCATATCTGCACCCTTCAACAGATTTTGGGACATATACATACTAGTGCCCGACATGCCATATTTCTTGACGTGAGGGCGTTATTTGACTCTATAGACTGGAAGGTACTGTGAAAGTGTCTGAAGGTAATGAATTTACCGAGAAATTGTTTCGCACTAATCAACCTATTCTGCTTGAACTTCTTCAATCTTGCTATAGTCTGTGGGGATTTTTCATCCTAAGTGAGGAAAAGAAACCAGGACTGTCCGTCATAGATGCCAAAAGTATCTATTTTATTTTAGTTTCATCACAGATGTACTAATAAATGTGACCTTAATCTACTTTATCAACTTAGGAGTTGACTTACTACTAGGAACAGCCTCATCGATTTGGAGCATGCAAATCTATTACATTTTCATTATTTTCCATGTAACTATCTTCTCGCGCTTACATTTCTCTTTATCATTATTTTTCTTATTCTTTCTCTACTTTTATGGATGTTTTATAAAGTGTGACGACATGCTCTGTCCCACTTTTGTGTGATATTTTACGTTGGAAATTCAGTTCATTTAGTTATAAACGTGAAATTGCGTGAGCCAACCATGTTTTCACAAGAAAGATTGTATGTGAAGTACTTTTAGGAGAAGTGAGTTGTTGATGCGGATACATTCAGTGTTATTATCTTCTAAACTCAAGATATTTCCGTCATTCTTCACGTTATCCTCCTATTTGTAGCACTTTATTTCGATTATTCGGTTTCTTGTTGCTCCACTTCTGTATACTTGCTTCTAAGTTGGTCTGTATCTATTCTAACCGTTACAGCCTTACCATTCATGACAACTTTTACCGAATCAGTGGATGTTGCGTATTTACTTCATATTTTTTAACAATAGATGTATCTTTAGGTTATAGTTTTAAAATGGTTGCAGGTTTTGGAGGTAGATGCAACCAATAGATTCTACGTATCATATTTTTTTCCACAGAATCCTTTAAATTCTTGTTCTTGATATTCACAGAGACAATGATAACTTAAATCTGACCTTGTCAGTCTCATACTAGAACAGACATAAACATTTTTATCTCTAATTTCATCCACTGTTAAAGCAATAACTAAGTAGTTGTAGACTGTAGACTTCACACTACTTATAAATTGTAACTGAAATTTTCGTGTCACTGGTATTGTTTTGAAATAGGACTTATTGAATTTAAAAGCAGTTTGTATGCTGATGTATTCATACTTCTTAGAGTACTTTTTACATACACTGAGACCATATTACATTATTATTCCCTTGGGTTCCTGTTGAAACCATGGCGCTTCAGCAGTAGATCTCCATTTCACTCTTTCTCCGCAATCTTTTTCAGCTGGCTTCATGATTACCAGTAAACTGTCATTTGCTCGTCGCATTCTCTCCTCTATGTCATCCTAAGACACACAAGTCGTCATTTTCCACTAACGTTTCACTCGAAGGCCTGACGCATGATGTCGTCCAACGGTCTTCTCAGTGTAAGTTCAATCAAGATTGATTCTTGATTGATTCCACACATATATATAAATGAAGGAAATAAGTTGTGTGAGTAACTTGATATGATTATGAGCAATAGTTTGTGCTCGAAACGTCATCAGTTAACATTCCTGTATAACATTGTGTGATTTATCAAAAATAAAATCTTATCCATAATGAAGTAATACTGGGGTCTGACGATATATGTTTGGTGAATAGGGGGGGGGGGACCATCTTTAAGTAGCTGATTTCATGTTGAGATATTGGCTTCGGTATCTAGGATCAGCGTTTTAATTGTCATCCTCGCTACCTCCATATTGTTCACAGTTCAGGAAAAGAGAAAAGAGAATCAGCCCATGACGTTACAGCAATGGATAAAATATATTTGTATGATATTGGCATTTGTTGGTGCATGAGAAGTCCTCAGATTGATGTTGGAGAGGCCCTAAGACTCAGTGGCTTGAGTTTTTGTCTAGTATGGCTCAGAACTGAAGTTAGTAACCAGCCTGCTTCATTTTCTTTATCCCTTTTGTTAGGAAAATATAAAATAATAAGCGTACTTAATGTTCCATTTTGTTGTATGGTGTCCATATTAATTTTTTAAGTGATTTTGTAGTGTGTTTCTTGATGCTCCTGCTGTGCCATATTCGTGTGTCAATAATCATCTGAAGTCTATCTGGGAAACAGCAGGTCGTGTGGCTGAAATAAGTGAGGTTTTCCGTCCTAGTTTGGAGACAAAACAGCCATCCAATGTCCCTGTAATTTCCAATAGAGTTCTCCAGTTGATGTTGGCTAGTGGCGAAATCTGCTTCCACGGATTTATTTCAGCTGCTTGTCTGCGTTTTATTTTTGCTGTTGGTGTTGGGCTTTACCTCTATGAGGAAATATTCTTATAAGTATTGTAAATTCTCCACGGTAAGTTGAGGATTGTTACTACTTTCAAATCACATTAAACCTGTCAACAGGACGACTTTTTAATGCAATTATCTAGTTCTTATAAGGTTAACCTTTCAAGAAATTTATTACTTTGCAGGATATATTATATTTCGCCAATCTCGTAACTGATTCTGTCCTTATTGAGCTATCCGCCTTTATCGGAGTACTCTCAGATATATACTTCACAAAGCCAGATGACAGTGAACCTATGGATACCATTTTGTAAGTTTACCTTTATCATTTGTCATAATCTAGTCCGCAAATAAGGAGTACTTCTCATTTTTATGCCTGTAAACGGGTGACCTGGTCTTCTTCATTTAGCTTAATGAACTAAGTTGCCATGTTGAAGATGATCTCTAGGTCTCGAATCGGCCGTTTTTATTGGTGAACACTCAAGTATGGAGAGTACTTGTGTTATCGGAATATATACTGTAGTTTTTCAGATATTATAATACCATATTGTGTGACATCGCTATATATAACAGGATAGATATTCCTTGTTTAGAAAATCTAATTATTAGGCTAACTAGTTTTGTAACTGTATTACTATATTTATGTTTATTGGCCTCCGACCAGTGGCTTTCATGTCCAAACTAGGGTGAAGGTAATGACACATCCTATACAAGTGTGCTGTACAATTTCGTTGGTCGAATGATTTGTAGATACATAATGGTGACTATATATATAGGAACATTTCACTGACTTTCTTAAAGTGACTACTTGGTTATAAAATCAAGATACCTTTCAACAGAAAGTGAACTGAATGTATTAGCCTTCATATTAATTATTGTAGCGTTACTAAAATTTCCAATTACTTGTTTTCGTAAAAGTGGGATTTAATCACAAAGCGTTTCTTTTGTTTTGACTTTATAGGGATATTATATCGGGTAAGGCAGAGAATAATAACTCAGAAACTGAAGTTATTTGCATTGAAGAACAATTAGCAAGTTTAGTTGAAGAGTTGATGCGCGAATTTTTCATTTTGGCCCGAAGTCGTTTTGAGCTAGAGGTGAGTGTTTGTGGAATTGACAGTTGTGACTGTCCAATAAGCATGTGTCACATCAGGAACATATATATATATATACTGCATTTTACCTGAAATTTCGACTCTATTTTCATTTCTCTCCTTGTATTCCCTTCTAGATTAGTTCTCACATTATGTAATACATTTTTTTTTAAACATGACTACACGTATTTTAGGGGTTTTTGATGAATTTGACATTGCATATAAGTAAAATTTTGCAGCTTTCGAAAGCGGTTCATCGGAAAAAGAAATTTTCTTTGATATAACGTTATCCTCTTCCAACACAATACCTCACTAAACCACTTCGAATAGTTTTAATGATTACGCCTACATGTATATGTCTGTTATCTATTGTCATTCTTATATCGTACGTTGGTGGCACAGCGGTTAGGATTCTCGCTAGCAATGCATACGGTCCAGGGTTCGACCCCCGGCCGACGCACCCTTGACGTCAATAGTCGATCTGCTAAATTTCGGCTACCGATATCACTTGCTGAAAATTCCCTACTTGTACCAAAAATACGGTGTGGTATCAAGCTATAATAAAATAAAATAAAAAAAATAAGTCGTGACCAGTAGCGTGCAGCCGGTCGGGTGTGAGGACAAATACTCGCCGAAGACTTTGGCTAGCGGTCGCGCTATGTCGTGAATTGGCAGAAGTTAGAATTCAAGGGCCATTGGATCGGGTCCGAGTGGCTTAATGGTCTACGAGCTATCTCGCCTTGTAACCGGAAGGTCCTGGGTTCGAATCCCGGTGGGTGCGTACTGCCGAAGAGTCCCAAACTAGGACGTAGGAAACAGCTGTCCAGTACTCCCAGGTTTTCCAATGGTTCTCTAACTAATGTCAGCTCATGATGAAATCCTGAAAAAAATAATGTTTATCTATTTTTCAATGGGTTACTACATTAGTTTTGCTTTTTATCTTTATTCTTCCTTCAATTCTCAACTCACAGGGCACAAACACAGATATTAACTTACTGATTAGAGCTTTAGATCGTATCCACAGTCGAGTACAAACATTTAATCGGTCACTGTTAACATCAATCACTTCTGTAGATATTGATGATGAATTGATAGATGAGAGAAACTCTGAATCATCACTATCCACCATAATGAATCGTTTTTCTTCACTGACGAGTCAATTTTCAAATTCTGTACTGGAAATAATTAATCAAGTTGCCCGAGCACAAACTACATATTACTTTGATATATTATGTCAAAATGCTGTTGAATCATTCACAGATCTTCGTCATAAACTAGCCAGTCATGGATTACAAACACTGACATCCAATACAACGAATGAAGAATTGACTAAAATGTGAGTTTCAAGTTTTTTTAATTTTTATTCATTTCATCGCATCAAAACAATACTGCATAATGAGTTTTCTTGTCACAAAATAAATCATTAGCTCATTAATATCTCGCTTATTTCTCTTTCAGGAATGTGATGGAGAATGATGATCGTCAGCTTGCTACACTTTTTGATGCTCTTAATGCATCGCTTGTTTCTCAGCTGCGTAATGTATTGAAATCTGAAGAGGTTAGTTCATTTCATTTGTAATTTTATTATTATTACTGAGTTTATATACCCAGATCGTAGTTCTACTACCCTGTGTATTGCGATGTCAAATATCCATTTAACAAATTTTGTTGACTAGGCTATTTAGTTTTCCCTTTTCAAGTCAAAATCAAAACCAATCAAAATAAACAAACTGCATTTATTGTATGTAGACTGATGGAGATGTATGTACTATTTTTTAACTCCCTTATATTAAATTCTTTGCAGGATGCTTGTTTAATTATGTGGATACCTTAGGCATCTTGAGGTTTAAGTCACCTGTATATTTTCAACAACAGTTTATCTCAATGTTGTTAAATGGATTTACTCGGAAGTAAGGATTAATATTTTATCAGTATTCTTTATGGTGGTGTTCCGTGTTTATTCGTCCAGGTTTGATAACGGATTGATGTCGTTTAGAGACCTACTGCAAGCCAAGGAGTGTTGGACAGTTGTTTCGTCCTAGTTTAGGACTCTTCGGTAGCACACACACACACTGGGGTTCGTACCCAGCACCTTTCGGTTACAAGGCAAACTCGTAGACCATTCAGCCTACATTTCACCCACAGATTAGTCTTGATAACTATTATTTTTCACATAATTAACTTGTTGTTTAATTGTTTGAAATATTTTGCGCAAATTAATCACACGATATTGATATTCTAACCATAATTTTTCAACGTGATCCGATAGTCGGTGATAAGTGTAACTGTTTATGCGTGAATAGTTTACTTACTTAAAACTGAGTGACTAGGAGTAGGTTTTCTATGTATCAGACTGCGAGCCAAACTTGTGGTGTAAGAACTTATGGCACTCTCTAGTTGTCTATAGGCTAATGTGGGTTGGGTAAGATTAGAACTCTGAACAAATTGGTTAAAATTCAAGTGCTAAAACAAATAATCTGAGTCTTTATATGGAAATATTTTACAAGGTTGTTTATTGGCTCATCCTTGTTTTCTGGCTGCAAAGTTTTGCATACTTCAATATTTGTGTTCTGAATGCTTGACTTTCTAAATCAATTGTTACAATTTGTCTTGTCGGTGTCATAGTGCTATCAATAGTGGTAGTGTTCTTACTGCCAAAGTCGCTTGCTGTTTGACAGGGGAGTATATCTCAGACTTCAGCACTCTGAAAATTGTCACCTGGTTTAGTTCATGTTTTTATGTAACCCTATGTTCCTATTGGATTTCGTGGGCAGTGTTCAAACTGGGGGAATTTGATATCCTTTTTAGATTCACTTGCTTCTGTTGTCATAGTCTTCATCTTTGTCCCTACATATCTCCAATTCGCATGTTTTAAGATTTTGCAAACTATTCAACCGAATAATCGGTTTCAGTTATATACGCGTAAACCACTTCTGATTTGCCTCCCTTTTAAATATTGTCTTTGGCTTACATAATAAATTTTGTTATGCTTTCAATGGTCTGTGAGCCATTGTTATCTCTAAAAGTTGTAATAGTCTTCTGGTGGCGTCTGAAATATTGATGTAATAGTGTAACAACAGAAGGCGAGACACAGAAGCCAAGGTATATTTTCCATTGATCAAACCGCTATTTGTATAAATGCAGTTTATATTCTCTTTAACGAATCACTGAGCCAGCGTGTGATTTTGGTTTACTTTAAATAACATGAAATAGAATGTTCAAATATACATAGAGTATTCTGTTGCTAATGCAGTACTGAACTGTGTGATTATGTGAGAATAATATTCACTTGGAAACCATTGTCTGTATCACACCACCACAACAGTAGTACCAATAATTTTACAGATAGCTCATGAAGTGTGTTTTGCAGTTTCCGTTCGTACAAACACTTTCAGAAGTTAAGAAATTACTAAACAGTTTTTTTTTATTTTGGACTTGTAGGCAGTTATTTTAGGCAAAGTATGAAATGCATAAAAATTCACAGTTTCACAGAATGACTCAGAATTCTCAATTATACTGTGTTATCGTGTGTTTGTGTCATCTCATTAAGTGACTGGCACGTGTTTTCCTATGTGACTACTTCAACTTTGTGTGTGGAATTAGGGTTACGTTAGGAGAAAGAGATAGGGAAACAAATCGAGTGTGCCTCTAACCCATGAAATCATTAACTGTTGGTTTGAGGAGTTGAGAGGAATTTAGGCTGCTTGGATACGATCCGTATAGTTACAGAGACGTTTGGTTAGGAAAGTACTATGATATCGTTTAGGATAGATTGGATTGATACACATTCATATTATATCTTTCTCTTACGCGTTACATTCTCTTTGTCTGCTATAGTTTAAGTACAGTTTATATGGTGTTTTTCTATCAACACCACTATGCTTGTGTATGTAATCCAAGCTTTTTTTCCTTCACGTTCCCCAGTGGAACATAGGGCTCCAAGCTATTGGCTTGAAGTCTCTGTAGCAGTGTTTATTTTACAGGATGGGGTTGCTAGCCTCATGTTCAACCTTTCCTCTTTACTAGCATTATTTCTGGCTTAGTGAGGTAAAGGAGTTTGTCGTCCGGGGATCGAGCCCCTGACCATGTGCATGGTCGGCGAGCGTCCTAACCGCTATGCCACCGACGCACATTTTATCCAAGCTGATTTCAACAAATTCCTGACCAACCTACCATCTCTTATTCTGACGTTTTTGTTTTGTTTATCAGATTATTTGGAAAGTTTATTTTTTATTTTTTCAGGCATTTCTAAATACTGAAAGTACATTTTCCAGTGAACCACAATTTCGTAATTGTTTTTGCATTGATCAAATTCGAGAAGGTCTTATAGTTGGATATCTGAACTTTCTTGTACAATTCCTCAGTGATCTTGCAAAGGTAAATACCGTTTCACGCTAAGCCCTGTTATTTTTTTAAAATTCGAAATGTTTTGAGAGAAATAACTAATGTTCGCATATCTAAAACCCCACTTCAAATTGAAGTATACCTAGATGTTATAGTAAAGGTTTTTGCATTTCCCAATGAATGAAAAACAAAACGATATTGTTTTTACCGACATTTCGCTGTTTAATGCTAATAGCTTTATCAAAGTATTATTATTAAACCGGAATTTACAAAATCTCAGAATATGTATAACAAAGAGTTAAGGGAGTGAAAAATAGACTTAGGTCAAGTTAAAGGGACATGTTAAAAGTCAAAATAACAATGAAGATCACTAAACTAAATATCAAAGGTAATAGTATATCTGTTATTATATCAAAACAAAGTTTACTAATTTGATCATCGTTCCTCCCTATGGGGTCAATTTTCGTTTTCCAGTTGGTCAATTGGTAAAGATAACAAAATCAAGTGTAGACTGTTGGATATCATCAGTGCGTAAAATTATAAAAGTAGTGTGTGTTTACATAGTGAATTTGCTTATCCCATGAAGTGACAAATTCAACACGAATGTGAGAAGCAAGTTCACTATGCAAACACACACTGCTTTTATAATTTTACGCACTGATGATATCCAACAGTCTACACTTGATTTTGTTATCTTTACCAATTGACCAACTGGAAAACGAAAATTGACCCCATAGGAAGGAACGATGATCAAATTAGTAAACTTTGTTTTGATATAATAACAGATATACTATTACCTTTGATATTTAGTTTAGTGATCTTCATTGTTATTTTGACTTTTAACATGTCCCTTTAACTTGACCTAAGTCTATTTTTCACTCCCTTAACTCTTTGTTATACATATTCTGAGATTTTGTAAATTCCGGTTTAATAATAATACTTTGATAAAGCTATTAGCATTAAACAGCGAAATGTCGGTAAAAACAATATCGTTTTGTTTTTCATTCATTGGGAAATACAAAGACCTTTATTATATTGAATATCATATACTCAATGCCCAAATTTTTTCAAACCGTTAAAAGTGAACTTGGTTTGACATATATACTCAGATGTTGTTTAGAATGATAATGTGTGCTTCGCAAATACACCAGTTATATTCCTCTTTTTCATATGTGAAGCAAAATGCCGTCTTCTGTAAATTGAAAGACAATATTCTTTTGCAAGCTAACTTAGGTTCTTTCATTGATTGTCGAGAAATAGTTGATTCGCTGTTCCATCATCCCCATCATCAAATCAATATCCGTTAACTTACTGACATTTATACCAGTGTACTTTTATTTTTCGGAGTGTTTTCACAGTCACGAATAATGTAATTCAAATCGCTCATTTCGCTCTTTTCTTTAAGGATCCGTCGATCGAACATACTCGAATCGAGCGTCTTAATTGGTACCGACTGTAGCTACAAAGTTTCTATGCTGTAGATTTCGTTACTATTCAGAATGCAACAACATAAGGGATTTATGTTTACAAAAAAAATTGAATTCAGACACTTGGTACTGCTTGTATGTGTGTATGTGTGCTGGTTTCCAATTCATTATCTAAGATGTATTTTATTTTATGCATTATAGCATATAGTTGTTTATAATTGTATGGCTAAACAATTTTTAAATTTCTATCCTGTAGACGGCTGTGTGTAAAATTCCTGGTCCAATTTTACTCATTCTTGCAAAAATGTGTTTAACATGGGCGAATTCTGGTACAGTCGGGCATTTAATATCTTTAGCCGATGAGTTCATGTTATGCGGTACGTAAACTTATATACATATGTATATATATATATATATGCCAGTTCAAGTTTAAGCAGTTTTTATTTTACCTGTAAGCTGGTAGGAATACATCACAGTCAAAGTCCAAGGAAGGTATAGGGGAGTGTAGATGTTGAATTGAATAGTTATTAGCTGTGATATGCATTTTTGTTACTGTCGTCATTTTTGTGTTGGACTTTTTTTCTGTGTAGAGCTCTATATTTCAAATGATTACGCCTATTTTAAAAATAAGAAGTGAAGTGGTAGAGCAAGTTGACCGCTTCACTTATTTGGGAAGTACCATCAGCCCCAACGGGCTGATCTCTGACGAAATCTCAGCACGAATACAGGGGGCTCGTTTCGCATTTGCCAGTTTACGCCGACTCTGGCGTAGACGAGATGTTCGACTATCGACCAAAGGGCGGGTGTACTGCTCATCAGTACGCTCCGTCCTCCTTTATGGTTGTGAGACCTGTCCACTGAGAGTGGAAGACATGGAAAGACTAGCTGTCTTTGATCATAGGTGCCTGCGTTCTATTTCCCGTGTAAAGTGGCATAATAAGGTGAGCAACATGGAGGTTAGGCGTAGAGTTCTAGGTAAACAGGGAAATCAATCGACGAAGTCGTGAAGCTACAAAGACTGAGATGGTTAGGACATGTGTTACGTATGCCAAGCCATCGCCTCCCTCGACGAGCAATGCTAGCGGATATAGGGTCAGGCTGGAAAAAAGCTAGCGCTGGTCAAACAAAAACTTGGAACCAGTCAATGAAATCCACAATAGTTGGTCTAAGCCACGTAGGAAGGTGTAGACTTCCAGGCTGGGGTCCTCGGGATGGTAAAAATCTATGGTTGGAAACAATTGGTGACATGGCTCAAAATCGTTCTCAGTGGCGCAGATGCATCCACTCCTTGTGACTTATGATCTCCAATAAAACTGTTTTGTTTTTCTTTATTACTCCTTTGTCTCACACCTCTGCTCACTGTTTCTATTATGCTTTTCTTGTACTTTCTTCTCTTGCTTCGCGTGCTACACGGAGTGTGGCGACTTGAACTTCCGCACATTTGTGCAAAGTTCTATGTCGAAAACAGACAGACAGACAGAAATGATTACTAGCTGTAAATTATTCTGGAAACCTGATGTAGGCATTGAACATGTAATCATACTCAACATCAAAACGAACAACAAAATTCGGTCGGATTTTCAATACAAACGTCAAGTCAGTTCTTCTATACGGATCAGAAACTTGGCGGGTAACAAAGAATATTTCCAAAAGGTTGCACACCTGTCTTCGCTCTATACTGAAGATCAGATGGCTAGGCTGGAAAGAATAACCAACAAGAAACTATGGGAACAAACAAAACAAGAACCAATCACCAACCAACAAATATGCAGGAGAGAGTGGAGATGGATTGGACACTAGCTGAGGAGGCCGCTGTGTGACATCGCGCGTCAGGCCATTTCTCGAATGGAACCAGACTGGAAGGGAAGCGGCGAGTGGGACGTCAGTGCGAGAGTGGCATGGAGGAGATCGTGTGAAGAGGAGTTGAAAGAGTATGGACTAACTAACATGGATGCAGGTGAAAAGTACAGCAGAAGACAGAAGCAAGTGGAGATGTGTAGTTGAAGCCCTATGGTTCCACTAGGAAACCAAGGGAACAATAGTAATAATAATCTACTTTGAGTTAATAAGTGGCTAAACTGACAACTTACCTAAGTTGTCCAAGATTCTTTTCATATGAATCTGTAGTTAATGGCTTTTAGTAGAAAAACTCTACCATTTATGACCTTGATATTAATTTCTGCGAATATGGTTTCCTTTATATAATAAGTGAACTGCGCTGATTCCCTCTGTAAAACAGAGGCTTTGAAGCTTGCACAGTTGTTTTACTATCTCAAAATCCACCTAATTTACCATTTTGGTTCATTTTTGAATGATTTTTATTCTCTAATTAAATATATTCACTAACCGACTTCATGGAATCATTAATTTGTTTTATTTGAAAATTAAGACTTTTAGCAGGGCACATGAATTCTTAAGACAAAAACTGTCTATGTTCTAGGGCTATTACTCCATAATACACTTATCCACTATTCTTACCACTTGCTGCTTGATATTGAAGCGTCTTCGCATCCTGGGTTTTCATTGAGTTTTTGCAGCATATATTCAGTCGTGACCAACGTACACCTTGAGGCGAATTAAATCCGTATAAATTCAACATTAAAATTTTCTTTTCTTCCTTGTGTGTCTTTCAACTAATTCATCATTTTATTAAATTGCTCTTAATTTGACGGATTTTATGTGTTGTTTTTTTTTGGGGGGGGGGGGTGAAAACATTTGTTAGCTGATATATTTAGAATATGAAAAGCTCAGGAACTTCGTTCATGAATCTATACATACACATTCCATTCGTAATTTAGTTTGATTATCCTGTTAACTAACAACCATGTTGTCTGGAACATTTTTTTTTTCTTTTTTGCATATTGATGTGATTTTGCTGGCAATTTTTTCCTTCACGTTCCCCAGTGGAACATAGGGCCTCAAGCTAGTGGCTTGAAGTTTATGTAGCAGTGTTTTATTTTCACAGGATGGGGTCGCTAACCTCATGCCCAACCTTTCCTCTTTACCAGAATTATTTCCGGCTTAGCGAGGTAAAGGAGTGCGTCCTGTGGCCGGGAATCTAACCCCGGACCGTGTGCATGGTCGGCGAGCGTCCTAATCGCTGTGCCACCGACGCCCCATTGTTAGCAATTACCGCTTTAATATTACTATTATTATTTGTTATTATCACTTCTTACATCATAGTTATTATTTGTACCTTTTTCAGGTGCACAAAATAAAGAAATAAGCGAAGATTTCCTGTCCGATAATGGAAGTAGGTCACTCACCACTTCGAAGGATGTATCAGATCGTTTCAGAACTACTGGTAATGAACTTCTGATTGCTTTTGTCCGACTGGAAGGTACAAACTTGGCACAATTGCTGCGAAAAAGTGTAGAAGCAAGGGATTGGCTGAAAAATTTAGAACCACGTTCGGTTCGTTCAGCTGTGAAGAGAGTAATAGAAGATCTGGTTTTATTAGATCATCAAGTAAGATATGCAAATCATCTATGGATAGTGAAAGTCTAATATTTTCTTGATTGTTTATTATGGATTCACTTTGTACTTTTGCTTTTATCTATACTGTGTTTATATATTTTCACTCGTTTATATGATTTTTCTTATTATAAACAGATATCATGTACTCACGAGAAGATGCTCTTTTTTACTCTTCCTTCCTTCCTATCTGAACTGCATCTTCAGGTTAGTCAGTTATTTGCATCTTGCACACGTAATCGTGATCGAATTTCTGACTCACGTTCAAGTCGTAGTCTACGGCCTAGTACTTCATCTCATTATATAGATGCTACACGATCTGGTGGTTCTGGACAAGGCATTCATTGTGCTGATTTAGATCCAACTCTAGCTACTCATTTACGTCGTCTTTTCACTCAGAGAGTCGATATTTTTGCTGCAGTTGATGCTAATCGGGAATCATTGCTTCTGGGTGTTATTAAAATAGGTCTGAAGGTTAGTAAACTGTATATTTTTACTAACAAGTTTCTGTGTTACTAATCTTTTATTGTGTTTTGAAGCTTTCCTATGTACTCAACCCTACTAATGTGTGTTATAGTTTTGAAAAGCGGTTTTTAACACTTGAAAATTACATTTTTTTTCATGACACTTTAAGTATCTTGGTAAACTGGTCTCAGAGATTTCAGTTTGATTTATATTTATGGTTATGGGATGATTTAAGCCCTTTCTTATTCAGTTATTATCTATACATCTCAAATAAGCCATTCAGTTAGTAATGATGTATGCAGTCTTTCATGTCAATAACCAACTATTCAGTCATAGCAAGGAGGCAGTCACATTTCTGTTCATTTATTGTTACTCATGACACAATGTTACCGTTCATCGTTTAAATTAAAATAAGCCAGATTCAATTCGTTTGTACTGACTTGACTTTAGATCACGCATCATTCGAGCTCCCACCGATAGATCATGAGTTCATATCCGTATCCAGCTACTTCGGTTTAGATAATCGAGTAGTGGTACCCTAAGTGTGGCTCATGGTCTGGTACATACAATTGTATTGAGTCATTTAGGTTCGGGATTTTAATTTCTTTAATAAATATAGGTAAACGCTAAAGAGAAACACTTGATCGAACAACTGTTTTCAACTGATTTCGAATCTGAGAAAGTTACTTAAATAAACATTTCGCTTTTCTGTCTGACATAATCACGTCGCATGAGTTTTCCAGCATTATTAGCTATCAGAAAATAAATTAAGGCATCTTAGTGCAGGTGATATATACAGTGTTTACTTACTTACTAAACAGTTTTTTATTGGATTCATTTCTACTGCGTCGGTGACACAGCAGCAGTTAGGACGCTCGCCGACCATCCACATGGTCTGGGGTTCGATCTCCAGCCGACGCACACCTGATATCAACGGTCGACCTGGTAAATTTGGGCTAACTAATATCACATGCTGAAAATCCTATACTTCTATCAAAAATACTGTGTGGAGTCAGGCTATAATAAAATAAATAAATAACTATATACTTATAATGTATTCTTTTAAAGTACTTCATTTGTATTTGAAAGTTTTTTTAAACGACAACTTAACTATAATAGAGGTTTTTTTGTATTTCCCAATGAATGAAAAACAAGACGATATTGTTTTTACTGACGTTTCGCTATTTAATGCCAATAGCTTTCTCAAAGTATTATTGAACCGGAATTTACAAAATCTCAGCATATATATAACAAAGAGTTAGGGGGTGAGAAAAATGTAGACTTAGTTCAACTTAAAAGGACATATTGAAAGTCAAAATAACAATGAAGATCGTTCAAACCAAATATCAAAGGTAATAGTATAAATTCCGGTTTAATAATACTTTGAGAAAGCTATTAGCATTAAATAGCGAAACGTCAGTAAAAACAATATCGTCTTGTTTTTCATTCATTGGGAAATACAAAAAAACCTTTATTATAATGAATATCATATACCCAATGCCCAAATTTTTCAAACCGTTAAAAATGAACTTGGTTTGGACATAGACAACTTAACTAACTCCTAAGTGATATTTTTGAGGCCTATTGACTGACCTCACTGTTTCTATTATGCTTTTCTTGTACTTTCTTCTCTTGCTTCGCGTGCTACACGGAATGTGGCGACTTGAACTTCCGCACATTTGTGCAAAGTTCTATGTCGAAAACAGACAGACAGACAGACCACGTTTTGACTTAGGACTTTGCACAGAAGTGCAGCAGTTCCTATTGCCTTACTATATACAGCAAATAAAATTGCAAAAAAGAAAGAAAAAGAAATTCCAATAACTATAGTGAGTATAAATTTACAGGGGAAAGAATAGTAACATCGAAGGATATGAGGATTGAAGGAATCTGGGAGACCACAGACTGGTACACTAAAATTGAAAAATTTGAATGGTACAGTCAATGGTGGACTGATTATTTTTAAGAGGTGACAGTGAAGAATGGAAATTTAACGGCTGACCTTCCAAAGGCATATTCATTTATGATAATATCTGAATAACCCTTTTCGTAATACCGATATTGTATTATATTTTTTAATTTTTATTCTCTATTGATCGATCTTCGTGCGTTTAAAAAACAATCATGGTGTTTAGACTTTAATAGAGTGTGTACGCTTGCAAACATTCGGTCGTTATGGTTTACAACAAATACAAGTTGATTGCCGATATCTACAAATACATTTATGGCATTTCGTGAACGATGAGAAGTAAGTTTTGAAATTATTTTTAATAGAACAGTGCGTTTATAGTCTTAGAAGTTAGTTGTAATCCCATAGATATAACAAAATTCCTTCAGTGAAAGGTGCTGTAATAAAGTTTGCTGTTGTTAATGCTTTTCTTGGAAATGCCAATGTAGGTATATTTGGCGAGTAGTGTTCATTATTTCTAGAATTTCCACTGTTAACTCAGTTATCTGAGCATTTAGATATAATGGAGATTTGTAGCTCTGATGGGTGATTTTGATGTATTGGCATTCTCTAAACAGGATGGCTAAGAAGCTTTCATTGTATAACTAGACGACATCTTCAGCGGATACTTCAATTTTGAAGTGAGCATTTAAATCCTTTCCGCATAATTTGACTTGATAGATAGCCTGTTGCGTATCAAGTACGGCTGTTCACCTATACTCCGTCTTGTGGTAATCATGCATATGCCGGCTATTTACGGAAATAAATTTCATGGAACATGATTCAGGAATATAGGATGGTAAAAAGTTATCTTAAGCCTATTAAGATATAAGTTTATATTTATGGGGACGTTTAGATTGCAAAACTTATCCCTTACGTGTTTCATCTTTTCAGTGACTCTTCGAAGTTATTTATTACTTTCTCACTTCTGAGTTATAGATAATGTTTTGTTCTTTACGTTCCGAGAAAAACACACGGCTTCAAGTTTTGAAGCTTCAGTAACGGTGATGTTATTTTTACAGGGTGGAGCTGCTAGCCTCAGACCCATTCTCCCCTTTTTCTCGAGCTCGCCACCGGTTAGTAAGTTACGCGTAGCTTAAGAATGAGTCAGCCGGGAATCAAACCTGGGCCATTTGTGTGACTGGAGATCATTCCACCATCGAACCACTAACATACTTTAGAGTTATTTTTCCTTATTTTTAATTTAAACATTTAAGTAGATAATGGAAATAGAGCTAACCGAATTATTATTTGCGTAATTGTGAACCGTGTTTTTCGGTTAGTTTATACTTACATTATGTTTTCTTAAAATCTATTGTTTCTGTTTAGGCTAATCTGCATGCTATTGGAAGATGTAATATACAGCGTTGTTCAGCGTTGTGTAGACCCATGTTTCATGGAAGAGAGTGTAAGTTTAACATTAAATGAATAGATTCATGTTAGAAAGGTTTTGTATTTGGTAACCTCTTTGTATGGGCGCTGCTCTGTACAGACTGAGATGGTTAGGACATGTGTTACGTATGCCAAGCCATCGCCTCCCTCGACGAGCAATGTCAGCGGATATAGGGTCAGGCTGGAAAAAAGCTAGCGGCGGTCAAACAAAAACTTGGCATCAGTCAATGAAATCCACAACAGTTGGTCTAAGCCACGTAGGAGGTGTAGACTTCCAGGCTGGGATCCTCGGGACGGTAAAAATCTATGGTTGGAAACAATTGGTGACATGGCTCAAAATCGTTCTCAGTGGCGCAGATGCATCCACTCCCTGTGACTTATGATCTCCAATGAAACTGTTTTGTTATTCTTTATTCTCCTTTGTCTCACACCTCTGCTCACTGTTTCTATTATGCTTTTCTTGTACTTTCTTCTCTTGCTTCGCGTGCTACACGGAATGTGGCGACTTGAACTTCCGCACATTTGTGCAAAGTTCTATGTCGAAAACAGACAGACAGTGAACTGTATGAATTGACCCAATACTTCATGTATAACTTTACTGCAAAAATAAGTAATACACTTTTGGACTAAGTTCTATACTACACTATGTGTTTGTCTTGTAGTTTTTAATATCTTTGACACTGTTTATTTGCTCTGCTCGGATGACAACTGTCTACCTAGTGTCTATTTGCAAGAAATATCGCACCCGCTGGGATTCGAATCCAGGACCTTCCGGTTACAACGCAAGCTCGTATACCATCCAGCCACTGGGACCCGATTCAATGGCTCATGAGTTCTAACTTCTACCCATTCGTGATTTAGCGCGACCCCAACTCGTAAAAACATTACAAACCCTTACAAACCAAAAACTATAGAAAATCGAAATAATAGTCAATGAGGGTGGATAAGAAAGATTTGAAGTAGTCTTATACAAAGCTAAGATCTAATTATTACTGAAAACCCTAATGATACAGATCATGGCATCAGTAATATTTATTAGTGTTACCTTGGGTTTCGAGTGGAACATACGTCTTCAACAGCACAACTCAATTTTGTCCTGTTCTCTGCAGTCGTCTTTAGCCAGCCTGATGACTACCCATAGTCTCTCATCTGCTCACAAGATCTCCATATCACCTTTGGAAGCCGAAATCGTTATTTCGCCTTCGTTTTCGACTCTTGGGCCTGTCGCACTAGTCTGTCATTTAACGCTCTCCTCAGCGTGTGTTCAATCCATCTCCACTTTCTTTTCAGAATATTCACTGAGCAATAAGTTCTTGGTTGGTTTGTTCCCAGCCAGATTTTCTTGTTGCTAATCCTTCCTGACCATCTGGTTTTCAGTATGGAGCCAGCGAAGGCAGCTGTTGGTAAAATTTTGCAATTGTTACAAATGCTTTCTGTGACTCGCGGGTCACATTGGTGTTGAAAATCCTTAATTTGTTGTTTATGCTGAGTGCAGAAGATTTCCAAACTGACTCCATACTGATGAGTGTTCACCTTGCCTTTCTGATCCTGTCTGGCTTTGACATCTTCATCCATTCCCCTTGTGGTTGAAACGATGCTTCCTAGATAAGTGAAGCGTGTGACCTGTTTCAAATATGTTTTGTTGATAGTGGTTCTTGTTGTTGTTCGTCGTTGGTCACCTTCATCAGTAATATTTAATGATGACTAAAGATGGTAAAAAGTAATGATTGAAAGGCAGAAGTGTTAAAATATAAATTCATAGTGTATTTATTAGGTTTTAGTTAACTCAATTATAGACCAGGGTAAACAAATTGTGTATGCATATTTTGTTTGGGCGTCAGTGGTATAGTGGTTAGGACGCTCGCCGACCATGCACACGGTCCGGGGTTCGATCCCCGGCCAGCGCACTCCTTCACCTTGCTAAGCCAGAAGTAAAAAGATGGTAAAGAGGAAAAGTTGAGCATGAGGCTAGAAACCCCATCCTGTAAAAATAAAACACTGCTACAGAAACTTGAAGCCCTATGTTCCACTGGGAACGTGAAGGTAATTAAAAAATATATATATTTTGTTTAGATGCACACTTTAAAGTTTTTCTCATTGATACTTAAAACTCCATGTTTAAGCAGTAGATGTAGTCTTGTATTTGTTAACGAATTAGTGAGTACAATATATGTCAGTAGATTTGTGTAATGCAACCTAATATCTTATGTTAACTGTTTATTGAATGAGACAAGATTTTGTCGCGTATGGAAATATAGTTTATGGTTTTTCTACTCCTCTGCACACAAGTCGACTTTTGCATCTTTCACCTAACTCCATGACCTTCACTCATGCGACTGAAGATTAAAATTTAGCTCTGAATGGTACTCGGTCCTTTCATTTTTTTTTCCACCATCATTCTAAACATATTATTATCACATTAATTCGGAACATCAAACAGCATTAAATGACTATGGCTTAAAGAATATAAAATTGTCTCAGATTATTTTCAAAAATGCATCTTTTTCCCCATGATTCCCTCGTATTTTAATTTTGTTTGAAAATTCTACTGTCTGTTGTATTGTTGTTGTTTCAGTCGTCAATTTACATGACTTGAATGCTGCTTCATGTTTCTTTTACAATGAATGTGTGGGTTCCCATTATTGCTAGCAAACAACTTCCACCTATTTGCTTGCTTTAGCGTAGGTGGCACAGCGGTAGAATGCTCACCAACCACGCATGTGGTCCGGGGTTTTCGACCCCTGGCTGACGCATCCCTTTACGTTGCTAAGCCAGTAATAAGACTGGTGTTGACCATGAGGCTAGCAACGCCAACCCGTAAAAATAAACACCACTGCTACCGAAACTTCAAAGTTCTAGTTTGAAGCCCTATATTCCACTGCGAACGTAAAGGGATAAAAGTTTTTAAAAAAATATTTGCTTGCATGTGTGTGTGTGTGTGTGAGTATGTTTACTTAGGTAGGTTAGGTCACATAGTTGGATGTATTTTTCGCTCCATTCACTACTGACTTCTTTTTAGTGATTGAACAGGCTTAAATCACTCATCTTCAATTGGAAAAATTGTGACATCAGAAGTCGACTTCATCATTATAGATGGACAGTGGTTCTGTTTACTTTTTTTTATTGCTTCAGCTGAGTAGTAGGTATATTGGATTTGTTAGCTAAAAATGACACTAGCTAAGCTAGTCTTAGCACCGCTTAGTCAGTTTACCTAGCTATCTATTGTGAACTCTCAGTCACACTTTCTAACATAAAATACCTTTTTCACTGATTATTGGTTGATTTCTTTTTTTTTTGGTTATAGGTTGTTGAAGCAATATGTGATCGAGCATAGGATACGAATATTTCGTTTCACATTACATCCGGCCTTCTATAATATAATATTGATGATTTTCCTTTTTTTCTTGTTTATGAAATTGCATAACGCATAACCTTTGTCTGTGATATCTATTCAATCCTACTTCATACAGTTATTTTTTTTATTGTATAATATTGTGTCTATTGTCTTGGTGTGAAATTAATTCCCTATTATTTACGATACTTTATCCTAGTGTTTTTATAGTTTATCACTTCGGAGTGATTTCAAATAACTTATTTCAGGTGTTGTTATGAGTTTATTTCTCGGTTTATTTCTATTCTTGTGAAGCTTGTAAAATTTACCATATAAAATTTGTATACTTTGCTGTTTTTTTTTTTTAATTTTCATGTGTCCGTGATTGCTTTGATTCCCACTTTCATGGCTTTACTGGGCACAACTCTTATAATTTGTCACTGTAGTTGTTTGTGTGCTCTTCAGTGAATTACCTAAACTTATTTAGTTTAACTTATATGTAGTAGTCTTTCAATGCAACTTCTGATCTCTACTAACTTTAAGGAGTTTTTCGGTAGTCGTGTTTCTTAAGTTAGCTTCCTTTGACTTCAAAACTTCCAGCTTTATTTTAGTCATTATGTACATTACAGAGGAATCAACTTTTTTAAACCAATGTAACTATTATCTCCTACACAGTAAACTAATGAAAAGAATATAGTTAGTGCAACTCAGCTTCTGTCGTTCCTTTATGAAAATGTTCATAAAACAATTCCCAGTTGATGTCAATGATTCTTCAGACTGTTACCATGGTGGAACCAAATTTGTAGTTTTCAGCTTCTCCAGGTGTGAGTCTAGTTATAATAAATAATTTTTCCTTCACGTTCCCCAGGGAAACATAGGGCTTCAAGCTAGTGGCCTTGAGGTTTCTGTAGCAGTGTTTATTTTACAGGATGGGGTTGCTAGCCTCATGCCCAATCTTTCCTCTTTACCAGAATTATTTCCGGCTTAGCGAGGTAAAGAAGTGCGTCCTGTGACCGGGGATCGAACCCCGGGCCATGTGCATGGTCGGCGAGCGCCCTAACCGCTATGCCACCGACGCTGCTGATAATTAAATTCACTAATTGCTAATAAATAATTCTGAAGTATGATACTGTCTTAAGCCTTAATATTTTAGTGTGTGTCTCACGGATCAACGCAGTAGCGCATTATTTCGAGTTGCTGCACTTTGCTAGAGCAGAATTTCTTTCTAAATACTGCATCTTATCATTATTTTTTACCAAAATTAACTCAGTCACCTGCGTTGTGTAGATGAGCACAAATTCTCTTCTGGTAGTGATGTTACTTCTGAAAAGATAATAAAACGAGGTCAGAAATCTACGTGCAAATTTAATTACACAGGTGGTGTATGTGTCAGGCATCACATTTTTGTGTAATTTCAGATGACTAGTCCTCACAAAGTGTTACATGATTTCGTTTGTTCGAGTAGAATACCTTAACCTAATATACCTCTTAGACTTTTGCTTCACGGTCATACATTGACGAAAACTCTCGATCTATGGGATAGAATGTCATCTACAGGCAAGTGTGTGATTTCGGTACTTGTAATGGCTTGTCCAATGGTGGATATGTGATGAGTGTATGTATGCAGTTCATGTGTGAAACTTGCACATTCTTTTGCGTTTGTTTATCTTGAGGTGCGCTTAATCTACGTAAGACCACTGACCTTAGGATCTTTGGTACTATATCGCTTAGGCTGGTTCTCCCGCGGTTACTGTAGAATAACTTGTCACTCTTCTAATAGGCTGCAGTGGACAATAGGTTACATTTGTCTGAATCACGTATGCCAGATAGTGACATCCTTAAACATCTAAAGTCAAAACATTCGGTCCTGTCTAAGAGTAAGGTAGAGCATCTCTGCTCATGAGAGTCGTGCGTATACATGTGCACAGTGTAATCCTTGATGGGGGTCCACTTTGATGCTGCAGAACAAGATTCATTGTCCTGCTGATTCTTCGATTGTGATGTATATTAGTGATGCAAATCACTGTTTTTCATTTGATGTTTAACTAGTTTTGAATTTGATGATGAGACTAATTTTTATCGCATGCTAATAGGTCAGTGTTAGAGGCAAATTTTGGTTTTGATGAAAGGGTGTGTATTTCAAGGGATTGTCGGTAAAGAACTAAGGCTTGCACTCAAATCATTTCGTACAAATGATATTAGAATCATATTTTCGGTTCCCCATCACTTCCTGTATTCTGACCTGTTTCTTGTTTAATCTCTTTCAACGGCTAACAAGAAATTAAATTAATTCCTCTGGAGGCATCAAAGTATGTACACGATTATTGTATGCACTGTAACATTATCCAAATGCATCTAATCGATAGCATTATGACACAATGGTGTGGTTGTGTAGGATGCAAAAAAAACATGTAATCCGTCAAGATCATTAGGCTACAGCATTCACCACTGGTCGCTGATCTTCATTGTTTAAGTTGACTAGTTAAGCCGAAGGCTCACAGTAAAGCATCTAAGCCACAGGGTAACGTTTCTTCTCTCGTTTACTATCCCCAGCTAGCTAATCGCTGAATATCCCACTACGATTTTATCCTGGAGATATTTTTTTGTATTTCGGACTAAAAATTTGGTGTTCGCTTTGCATTTGGTCTGTAGGAGCAGTAAGATGGAAACTTGCGTTCGCATGTGTCATAATTTTTGCACAAGCGGTGACGTTCCCTCTTCTCCCAAAATGGAACGAGGATGTAGGTGAGGAGTGAGGTTTCAGTTAAAAGGTGCATACATTACGGAATTACAGGAGACGTATCGCAACTACGACAAAAGCTATGAGTAAATAATTCACATAATGTAGCTGTCAGCCACGTCTCGTAAACCGTCAATGCCCAGCTCTTTCTACGCTCGGGCTCACGCTGTTCCTTGAAGTTTCTCAGAAACGCTTAGTAATAACGGACGAAAAAACCAAAACACCGATTGGCTGCTTGAGAATTCTTTATTGTTACACCAACATATAAAAATAGTAATTGAACTAAGGTCTATGAACAAATATTACAATAATAAATCATAAGATTACTTCTGATTTTTTTGCTACTGACTTCTTTCTGAACAGCGACCGATGAGACGATGACTGTCGTATTGATGCCTCCGCGAAAATTGGGGAAGTTGATTTTGAGCAAACAACCAAGAATTGATCGTTCAATCTTCAACTCCATTGACATGAGTAGTCTTTTGTGAGTTGCTTTATCAAAGGCTTCATTGAAGTATACGAAGACGACGTCAACGGGTCTTCTGTTGTCCTTTGGTTTGACCCAGCTTTCTCTTGCAGCGAGGAGGTTTGATAGGCATGAGAGGTTCCTCCGGAAGCCATGCTGTGCTCTAGATAACAAGCTGCTGTTTTCCAGATATGCCATGATGCTTTTCTTGATGATTCTTCCCAGTGTCATGATTAAAGTGCTGGTGAGACTGACAGGCCTGTAATTTGAAGGGCTTTGTCTTGTTCCTCCTTTGTGGATGGGGGTTACTATTGTGGTGAGAGCAGGCTGCTAGCCGATTGGTTGACACTAATCTACGTTAATGTCTAGGTCACTAATATGGGCCGTGAGAAAATATGAACAAGGCTGTTTCAACAACCAATCACAGCAAACTTAAATGTGGACAAATATGATTCGCAGATAGATGGCTCTACTTTCCGAGAAATATCGAAAACAACCAATCATAAGACTGTGTTTGTCTGCTTAACTTCCGAGAAACAACCAATCAGAAGACTGCCTTTTTCTGCTTGCATAAGCCTTATTAATGCACATAAAATATATATAAATACGTGTTGATTTTCGTAATAAAACGATCTGTTGCCAGCCCTTGTCTTCTGTTGTTACATTTGGTGTCGCTGCCTCCAAAAAGATGAAGATCCCGTGGCCAGCTGCGTTTGAAGAAGGAGACATACGGAGCTTCTTACGTGACTTCGAGGCCGTTGCTGAGCTGGTGGGTGTCAAGGAGCAGGCGGCGAAGGCAGTTGTCCTGGGGACGCTGTTGAGAGGCCGAGCGAAGGCTGCATATGACAGCGTAGACAGGTCAAATGGCACAGCGTCTTGGAAGAAATTGGTTGAACGACTAGTGTCCGAGTTTGACAGCGAAACAGACAGACAGCTAGCAATGCAGCAGTTCCGGTCAATGAAGCTTGGACCTGATGGAGACCCGCTAGTGTTGGCGGTGAAACTGACTAATCTACTTCGACGCGCGCTTCCCACTTTAGATGAAGAATCAGAAGCGCAGTTACTGTCTTCCCAATTCATCGAGAGTGTCCCAGACCACATTTCTCAGCGATTACAACTGGTTAACGCAACGCAGCCGATGGATATTAGTGAGCTGGCGAAGGTGACCAGACAGCTGCTGAGCACAACGGTAGCCGCTATAGACCAACCAAAACCAAACGAATATGAGCAGAAAATTGAAGCATTGCAGCGGGAAGTGGCGGCGTTAAAGTTGGCTGATAGAAAAGACCGGTGTTTTGAATGCGGTAAGCCGGGACACTGGAGAAGATACTGCCCAGAAAGGCGAAAAAGAAAAAATTTCAGACGGTATAATGCTTGTTCTTTCTTTCGTATGAACCTAGATTTAGTGGGGGCTATTGAGAAAGGGCTCTGTATTCGAAGTTGCGAGTGAATGATCGAGAAGTAGTATGTTTGATAGATACAGGGGCGGCCGTGTCGTTAATAGATAAGAATTTATGTAAGAGTGTTAGCCCGTGTTCATTGACAGTACAAACAGTAGGCGGGTATGTGTTGCGTATCACGGGTAGATCGAACTGTACGGTCGTTGTTGGTGGCTGCGAGGTGACGTTTCCTTTCATTGTTGTACCCGAACTACAGCGAACGATATTAGGAGCGGATTTTCTGCGTGAGATTGGTGCAATAATCGACACGCAAGCGAACGTGGTGATCACGAAATACGGGCATATCAACATGTATGAGACCAGCGAGATAGCAGCGATTAAGCTGTCGACGGTACACAATGTGACAGAGTTAATTAATAAATACGATCATCTGTTCACTGGAGATGGCGACCCATACGGTTATTGCGATAAGGTGAATCATGAAATTCCGTTAAGTGATCCGAAAGTAAGGTCATTTTTAACGCGAAGAGTTCCATGTCATCTGGAAGGCGAAGTGGAGCGACAAGTGCAAGAGATGTTAAAAGATGACATTATTGAGGAAGCTGATAGCCCGTACAACTCTCCAGTGCTGTTAGTAAAAAAAGCGAATGGGAAGTATAGATTCTGTGTTGATTTTCGACAGTTAAACAGTATGACAGAGTTAAGACCGTGTGCCATGCCAACAGTGGTAGAAACTTTAGATCGCCTACAAGGTGCGAATGTGTTTTCGGTTCTCGATCTTCGCTCAGGATACTGGCAGATACCGATAAAACAAGGTGATAGAGATAAGACGGCTTTCATCGTGGGTCAGACACAATATCGATTTAAACGCATGCCGTTTGGACTAGCAGGTGCACCGTTTACGTTCAGACGACTGATGAAGCTATTACTTAGGAACTTGAAAAACGTGGAGGTTTATGGTGATGATCTCGTCATATACAGTCAAAACGAAAACGATCACGTCAACCATGTAGAAGCCGTGCTGCGACGCATCGAAGAGTTTGGACTACGCGTCAACAAAACCAAGTCTCAGATAGCCAAAAAGAATGTTACTCTGTTGGGACATAAAGTGGGAAATGGTGAGATTAAACCACTGCCGGAGAAAATTTTGACGATTAAAACGATTCCAGCCCCGAATTCAAAGAGAAAACTGAGACAATTCTTGGGTAGAGCAGCGTTTTATAGTCGCTTCGTGAAGAACTTCAATGAGATAGCAGCCCCTCTATACAGGCTACTAGGTGAGCCAAAGTTTGTTTGGTCGGAAGAATCGCAGAGGACATTCGACAGAATTAAACAGCTGCTCGACCACCAACAAATGACGCTAAAACTACCTGTGCCAGGAAGACAGTTCACAGTGTGCACAGATGCCAGTGACTACGCTATAGGTGCGGTCCTAAGACAGGACGAGGGAATCGTTGAGTATGCCAGTAGGGTTTTGACCCTCACAGAGAGAAAGTATTCAACGATAGAGAAAGAATGTTTAGCAATGGTATGGGCAGTCGACAAATGGAGACCTTATTTACTCGGCCGGCGGTTCCACATCGAAACTGATCATAAGCCGCTACAATTTTTGAAGACAGCGAGAGACCCACGGGGGAAGTTGTCACGGTGGATGTTGCGTCTTCAGGAGTACGATTTTACGATCTCACACGTTCCTGGAAGTGAAAATGTCTTGGCAGATTTGTTATCGAGACCAGAAGATGAGTCTGAGTTGCCCGAGGTCGCTTACGGAGTGCATGCAGTAGAACAAGACCCACTAAGACTTGCACGTAGGCAGAGGTTGGACGATACGCTGAATACAGTAATACAGGTGATCACCAACGGAATAGAAGTGGATCAAACTACGGCGAGTAAGGAGCTAACCACACTACTCAGACAGAGGGATCGACTCAGAGTGAATGCCTACGGGACTCTGACCTGGCGAGAGAACGACGGAAGCTGGCTGGCTGTCATACCTCAATCGTCGCGCCACGACATGATAGAAGAATGTCACCAGCTAGCGCATACAGGCGTGGCCAGAACGACCGACCTCCTAAGACAAAGTATGTACTGGCCAGGTATGAGAGAAGACGTAGCAAGATACGTACTTGGATGTCCACGGTGCCAGCTGATGAAAGGTGACCGGTATATACGACCACCACTTCAGTCGATTCCAGTTACCGCGATAGGTGACTTGTGGTCCGTAGATGTCATGGGTCCATTTCCTCAGACATCCAATGGTAATCAGTACCTCTTGGTGATGACGGAACACGCGACACGATGGGTAGACGCCGTAGCAATCCCAGACCAACGTGCAAGAACCGTGACAGATGCAGTAGTTAGACACATTGTTGCAGACCACGGCGTACCGAAGACAATACTGACAGACCAAGGTCCCTGTTTCGAGAGTGAAGAGTTTACTTCCCGTTTGCAACAGCTGGGCATCAAGAGGATCAGAACGACCCCATACCATCCACAAACGAATGGCCTAACGGAGAGAAACAACCGTACACTGAAGGAGTGGCTGGCCTCGAAGGGCGGGAACTGGGAAACGGAGCTTCCACTGATTTTACTAACACATCGGGCTACCACTCAGGAAACAACGAAGAAGTCACCCTTCCAACTGATGTATGGTAGAAAACCACGATTACCGGTACACAATGAGACCTGGCCCATGCACCAAAAGTGGAGTACGACGAAATTAAAAGCAGAGAGGAAAGAGGCAGTCAAGAATGTAATACGGAAGCAGCGCAGTGATGTCACGAAGTCTCAGATGAAAGAAAGGACGCAGTGCATTACCTTTGCAGTCGGGGACCAAGTGAAGTGTAGAGACAGGAGATATACAGTTGGAGGCGGGCTAGGTTCACGGAAACTCCTTCCAAAGTGGGAAGGACCATACACAATCACAAAAAGACGGGGTCAAGTATATACCATCCGAAGAGGTGATAAACAGAAACGAGTTAACGCCAGTCAGCTCCAAAGATGGGTACAGTGGGACAAGCCGGTCAGTAACAATCCTCAACTAGAGGATGTAGCACCCAGAAGGTCGGAACGTCTGCGCACGAAGCTATTTGACGGGGGGACGAGTGTGGTGAGAGCAGGCTGCTAGCCGATTGGTTGGCACTAATCTACGTTAATGTCTAGGTCACTAATATGGGCCGTGAGAAAATATGAACAAGGCTGTTTCAACAACCAATCACAGCAAACTTAAATGTGGACAAATATGATTCGCAGATAGATGGCTCTACTTTCCGAGAAATATCGAAAACAACCAATCATAAGACTGTGTTTGTCTGCTTAACTTCCGAGAAACAACCAATCAGAAGACTGCCTTTTTCTGCTTGCATAAGCCTTATTAATGCACATAAAATATATATAAATACGTGTTGATTTTCGTAATAAAACGATCTGTTGCCAGCCCTTGTCTTCTGTTGTTACACTATGGCGTCTTTCCAATCACGCGGTAACATTCCATTTGGGAATGATAGCTTGAAGATCGTGGTCAAGGGGCCTGCTATATGGGCTGATAGCTCCTTGAGAAGCCCTGCGTCGGTGGCACACTGGACCCTCGCCAACCATGCACATGGTCCGAGGATCGATCCCCTGCCGTTGCACACCTGATATCTATGATCGGCCTGGGCTACCGATATCCATGCTGAAAATTCCATACTTGTTCCAAAAATGCAGTGTGGAATCAAGCTGTAATCCAAAAAAATGCAGTTGAGCACGATGCCTTGGTCGATGTCAACGGAATCTATCCCATGTTCTTCTGATGTAGCCAGAGTTGATCCTGTAGGCAGTGATGACTCCTGGTTGAAGGCTTGGAAGAAGTAGTTTGCCACTGCTTCTGCTTTTTCTTGATCTTCTTCGACTGTATCATTGTCAATAATCAGGTTTGGGACACCACTGGATGTTTTATTCCTGAAATTCATGTACGAGAAAATTTTCTTAGGTTGTTTAAATTAGTTCTAGGCGGCTTCTACTTGGAACTCTGGGTTGATGTACCAGTTTACTGAGTTGGCTGCTGAAACGATTGAATTTATATCAGCTTTCCAAACGTTTGATCAAGCCGGGGTTTTGGCCGTTGCTGTGAACTTGAAAGTGAGTACAGCATGATCACTTCTTCCTAACGAAGGAAGATGTTGTATGAGATCCACATCCTCACCGTGGAAGAACACTAGGTCCAGAGTTGAGGAGGAGTGCTGTCAGTCATAGTGCGTGGGCTTATTGATATGTTGTACTAGGGCTAGCGATATACTAGATTCCACTTCGAAGTCCAGGAGCCTAGCTTCTCCATTAGGAATTCATCTACACTGCAGTCAGGACTGCGGTACACAAAAATGAGGTCAGTGTCTTGGCCTATTCATTTAAGCCTGCAGCGTAGAAGTTCGCACGACTCACTTTCGTGAGCGAGTGCTTCGGTACTACGCACGGTTAAGCATGGCTTGAGGTAGATGACTACTCCACTTCCTTTCCGGCTAAGTCGTCCACCCTATACACTCCGAAGTTTGGCAGGTTAACTTCGTTGTCAGTGACGTCGGGTGTGAGCCATGTCTCTGTGATAATAATTACATCCGGGTTTCCTAGGTCTATCATGTTAGCCAGCTCAGTCCGTTTATTTAACAGGCTGCGGGCGTTTGTGTAGCAGACTGTTAATTCAGACTGGTGCTTCCCCGGCCTACCCACAGAGGTTTCGGGATCATTAAACTGCGAACTCGGACAACCCGAAAACCCTTAATCTTAAGGTTCTTCTCGCCGTTCCGGCGTCGCTCGCCTAATTCTATGGCCGCTGCATGTCTTTTGACACGGTCTGCTAGGCTTAAGTCGGCGCGGACAAATATCCCTGATCCTTTAAGAGTTTGAGAGTTGCTTAGAATAGCATCCCTCTATTCGTTCGAGCTTAGTACGACTTTGAGCAGACGTACAGGCTGACTTACTGAAGGGTCAGGCTTTTGGCTTATTCTATATACGCAGTGTATAGTAATACCTGATACTGCCTGTGACAGTAGCTTTTCTAAAAGGGGCTTAACCAAATTAAGGTCATGCTCGATTCTGGCCATGGGATCGGGGACCAGTGACTCTTCCACATTGTGGAGAATGAGAAACCTGTTAGAGAGATCAGGTTTGCTTTCCGTGGCTTTCTCGCTCTGCGGCGTAAGTGTTTCTGTCCTTCGTGGGCGGTGTAGCCAATGTGTTATCCTTGTCTCACTTTTTCGAGAGACTACATTACGCCACTCATTGGCGTCCTCCTCACTAATCGTAGTAGGATTTATCTGCCTGCTACTTACATGTGTGGATGAGGCTTGATCCACCAGTCTCTTAGTGACTTGAGCTGCAGGTTTCGACCCCTGGTACACCTCTTCTTCACGTCAGTCTTTCCATTACTGTCACTGGAGGGCTTATCCAGTATCTAGGGGCAGCCTGTGGGGGCAACCCTTATCCTAACGAGATATTAACACATTGTCCAAACAGTAATTAATGGCGTGATCTGGGTGAAACTTGCACCTTATTTGATGAATACCGTTGACATTTAAGCTATGATAATAATAGGTGCCGTTAGCCAACGACTAGCATGCGTTCAAGGTCATTGAGGCGTTCGCACTCCTGGGACGCTACTGTTGAACTTCACCGTAAGAATATCGATGAGAAATCGCTTATTATGAATAGGAAACCACGAAATCTGACTTGATTTATTTAAGGTAGAAGTCAGTGACATTGTATTTCGGACGCTGCCGCGAAATGCGAAAAGGTCGTTACGCGTGGATCGTGACCAAAGGTAATGCAATTTTGTTTTCACTGAAGTACGGTTAAATATTCCGAATTTATTATCATATATGTAAATTTAGTTAAGGAAAATTTCAGGAATGATTGTTTATGATAGGTGGCATTTGCGCAATAGTTTTGAGGCAGTCTCATCAGGTTACCACATGAACTGTGGTAAGAACCAACCAAACACAGACACTGCTATGAAATATCATTCCAAGTCAAATCATTCCTTCTTTTTTGGACTTGGAAAGAATAGATGCAGTATTCTTCTTATATACTGCATACTTGCTTCTAATATATTTTGTGAGGTAGAGTTATGGTGTTCAAAACTATGGCTAACAGTTTAGGGTTTAGGCTACGTTTAGGTTTGAAGTTAGGTTTCAGAGTTCAGTCTGTTTTTTGAGTTAGGAATTGTTGGAGAATAGTGTCAGTAATATCAATGGGTCTCAAAGTCCTGTGACCAACAGGCACACATGAATAAGTAAATCGCACACGCTACAATTTCTCCATAGGTCATCTGTTTATTGACTGCAAGGCATTCTCACAACACATAAGCTATAAATGTACAGTGTAATATCAAGTTTGCAATATCTTTTAAGTGCATTTTTCAACTCTTATCTGACTTTGGCATCGGAATTCTGATTGGTTGCTCAGGATCACTGTGTTTTTGGTTGTGATAGTTTAACTCTACTATAAAATCGTTGATGTTATGGATTTCCACAAAAATTGCGAACAAAGTTGAATGAATAGGGGGTCACTTAAAGTCACTTTAACATACATAGGTGGGCAATAACCTGTCTTTCAGGACTTTGGATCCCTGGTAGATTAGAAGACAGAATCAGTAATACAATGGGATTGTAGGCACTGTGTTGCGTGGTCGTCTTTCTAACGACTTTGTGGCTTTTATTGCTTCATGATTCCGAATACTTGTCCGGGGTCAGTTGTATGTTCCATCACGATAGCTGCTGCAGTCTCACTTCGCCCGTCTTTGTGGACATCGTGGAGACCTGGCTTTAAAATACAAGCAACTATAAGGAATGAACGGGTAACAGAATTATCTTGAGCAACCTGTCAGATCTTCGGTCTTCATGACATAATTCTACAGGAAAAGCTTTATAGAAAAAATCGTAAGCGGAAGTGCTGGTGTTGTACTACCAGTAATGCAACTGTTGGTAGTCTCAAATGCGAATATTATTAGTGTTTGGGGTACTTACTCCCACTTGTCGTCATTAGCACGCAGTTAGCCTAAAGTATATCAGTGTCGAGAATTTGGTGATCCAGTCACCGGAACTGTGGAGAATTTGGGGCATATTTGACTAAACGCTTGTGATTGACAAATGGGTCTGAAAAAGGCATGATGTACATTCACTTAAAATTATTTATGTACAGAAAGTGGTTGTAGATGTTATTAATCACATTTTTGTAGTATATAAGCAACCTTTATTCACTTCGAAATGTTTTTATTATATTTTTTGCCGTGAATATGCCTCCCTACGTCAAAAATGTGTTCTTTATGGAACAGTTTCGATCGGTTGTTTTGGGTCATTTCTTTAATCGCTGAGTTTAGTTGATATTATTTATAATTGCCCACAAGCTTACCATACAGTACGGCCATTTACCATGTCTGTAGTTACGGTCACATTTTTGCTTGAGCATACAAATCTCCCACCGAATCCTGCTTTCTTAGTGTTTATAACTTAAATAGCTGCATGCTTTTGAAGAGATATTCCCCTATTCCGTTTCGTACTTAATTATATGACTTTCACTTCCAAATGAATTAGTAGTGCATTCTGTCTGTCTGTCTGTCTGTCTGTTTTCGACATAGAACTTTGCACAAATGTGCGGAAGTTCAAGTCGCCACATTCCGTGTAGCACGCGAAGCAAGAGAAGAAAGTACAAGAAAAGCATAATAGAAACAGTGAGCAGAGGTGTGAGACAAAGGAGTAATAAAGAAATACAAAACAGTTTCATTGAAGATCATAAGTCACAGGGAGTGGATGCATCTGCGCCACTGAGAACGATTTTGAGCCATGTCACCAATTGTTTCCAACCATAGATTTTTACCGTCCCGAGGACCCCAGCCTGGAAGTCTACACCTTCCTACGTGGCTTAGACCAACTGTTGTGGATTTCATTGACTGATGCCAAGTTTTTGTTTGACCGCCGCTAGCTTTTTTCCAGCCTGACCCTATATCCGCTAACATTGCTCGTCGAGGGAGGCGATGGCTTGGCATACGTAACACATGTCCTAACCATCTCAGTCTTTGTAGCTTCACGACTTCGTCGATTGATTTCCCCTGTTTACCTAGAACTCTACGCCTAACCTCCATGTTGCTCACCTTATTATGCCACTTTACACGGGAAATAGAACGCAGGCACCTATGATCAAAGACAGCTAGTCTTTTCATGTCTTCCACTCTCAGTGGCCAGGTCTCACAACCATAAAGGAGGACGGAGCGGACTGATGAGCAGTACACCCGCCCTTTGGTCGATAGTCGAACATCTCGTCTACGCCAGAGTCGGCGTAAACTAACAAATGCGAAACGAGCCCCTTGTATTCGTGCTGAGATTTCGTCAGAGATCAGCCCGTTGGGGCTGATGGTACTTCCCAAATAAGTGAAGCGGTCAACGTGCTCTACCACTTCACTTCCTATTTTTAAACTAGGCGTCGATGTAGTCCAGTCCTGTAACATCATCTTGCATTTGGCGGGAGCGAATCGCATGCCAAACATTCGTAGATTGCGGCTCAAGGTGTTTAGAAGACTCTGCATTTCGTCAGCGTCTTCGCCTAGAAGGACTATATCGTCTGCATATTCCAAGTCAACGAGATTATTCCCCGGTAGCAAGTCAATCCCTGAGTCGCTGAAGTCACCTAGGGTTAAGTCCATTAACACATCTATGATGAAGTTGAATAGAAAAGGAGATAATGGGCATCCTTGACGGACACCACTGGTCGTCATCAGTTCAGATGACAGCTCGCCGTAAGCCCTCACCTGGCTGTATGAGTACGAGTAGAGTGCCTTAATCAGTGCAATATATTTTCTTGGAATTCCCTTTACAGCCAAGCATCTCCAGAGAACTTCCCGATCGACAGAGTCGAATGCTGCCTTTAGGTCAAGAAATATAATGACTGTTGGACGCCGGTAGGAATGCCTATGTTCTAGAATCTGTCGGAGGGTGAAGATATGATCAATACACCCTCTTCCTGGTCTAAAGCCTGCCTGGCTCTCTCGTGTTTGTGCTTCCCGAGCACCACTCAGTCTACGCATGATTATTGAGCCTAAGACTTTAGATACTATATTAGTCAAGCTAATCCCTCTGTGATTATCACAGGAAGACTTGTCTCCCTTCTTGTATATGGGGATAATCAGTGACTTACACCAACCCGATGGGACTTCTTCTGATTCCCAGACGCTGCCTAGTACCTCAGTTAATCCGGACAGTAAGCTGTCTCCACCGTACTTAAATACCTCTGGAGTCATTCCATCAGGTCCCGCTGCTTTGCCTAGTTTCAGATTGGTGACAGCTTTAGTAACCTCAGTTAGTGACGGAGGACCTGTGTCTATATCCCATTCAGGGAGGTGTTGGATGCTCGGAAGGTTGAGCGTGGCTGTGGGCAAATTAAACTGCTCCTCATAATGCTCTTTCCAACGATCCAGTCGTCTATCCTGGAGCTAATTATAGTGCCATTTTTTTCCGAGATTGTCTCACTAATGATTTGTCTTCTCCCACCCGTTTCCCTGATGAGTCCAAAGAGTTGCCTGGTGTTGCCTATCCTCGAAGCTTTCTCCATCTCTTTGGCTTTTGTCGCCCACCACTGTTCACGGTCCTTGCGGAGACTTTTCGTAAGTTTCCTCTTGTGCAGCTTTCGCTCCTCATTGAATTCGGAGCTCGCCGGAATAAGTCTTCTAGCATCTATCAGTTCGGATGAGGCGGTGGAGATCCAGTGGTTTTTACTCACCTTTGGGTTTACCTTATTCACAGCTTTTACAGCTGTATCTATGGCTGCCTGGATATTTTTCCAAGCTTCTTCAGGGTGAGCACAGCTGTCGAACACAGATATGTGTTTAGCTAGTTCTTCCTGAAATACGGATTTAGTTTCCTGATCGAGCTGGGGACGTGATGGTTTTACCGCCAGCTGTTTCCTACGTCCGTTCAGTCGTAAGCACACCCGAGCGCGGACCAGTGCATGGTCGGTATCTACGCACGTGTTCCAGAAGGAGCGACAATCTCCTACCGACCCACGCCAACGATAGCTTATTGCTATGTGGTCTATTTGTGTCCAGCGTTGGTTTGATGAAGGGGGTCTCCAAGTCAAACAGTGTCTCTCCTTGTGTTTAAAGTTAGTGCTTACAAGAAACAAATGATTATCAGAGCAGAACTGTAGGAGACGGTCACCGTTGTCGGTTCGCTGGCACGGAACTCCATAGGTGCCACCGACATCCTTCTCAGATTGACACAATTTCCCTACTTGAGCGTTAAAGTCACCAGCTAGAACGACTATGTCTGAGCGTTTAGCCTTTCCACCAAACTAGACAGCTTTTGGTAGAACTCATCCTTCGTTTCATCTGAACTGCAGTCAGTGGGGGCGTAGGCGGAGATTACGAAAAGGCATCGGCGAGTAGTGCAGTCCTTCCTCCTTCTTACTGATCCGTTCAGGCGGACAGCACACATTCGGCTATCTACTGGGATCCAGTCAAGCAATGTCTTTTCTGCCCTAGTACTCAAAGCTATCCCTACGCCAGCTAATCCTCGTGAACTAGCTGTGGCATCTCCTGACACCCTCAAGGTGAATTTTGCAGATTCAACCTGTTGGCCAGGTGGGGTTAGGTGAATAACCACACTTGGGTCTTGTATGCGTGTTTCTGAAACACAGCATACATCAATGGCTCGTGATGCCAGGGTCTTGGCTAGTGATGCTTGTTGTCCTATTTGGCAAAGTGTCCTAACATTAAGAGCTCCTATATGAAATTGGTGGCGCGGCTTTAAGAGGCTGTCGGTGGTGGTTTTTTGGCTTCCATCGTTTTTAGTGGACGCAGAGTGGAGAGGAAGTGGAGAGCTATCAAGTCGAGGAGTTGCATCAGTGGAAGGAAGGCAAGATGATAGAGATGAAGATGAAGACAAAGATGAGTGAGTAATAGAGAGGTTTCGTGTGCATTTCGGATTGTGAGGGCGATTGTTACTTCCCGGCTGCCCACACCGTGGAAGTTGGTTGCGTGACCGCAGAGCCCAGGGGACAACTGCTTGAGGCCGGTCACACGCGGCCTGTTTTTGTTCGTTCTTTTTTGTTTGGTGTGTCTCAGTAGCAGATTTATCACTCCTGCCCTGTGACACGGCAGCAGGAAGCGCGGTCGTTGTTAATCCGGGCCACGGCCGATCCGGCATGAAATTTTGTGATTTTGTATTGGACATGATGTTGGATTGGGTAGCTGCTTTTTGTTTAACCGCTATCCAAACAACCTGCCTGGCATGGTAGTACCTCAAGAGACATAAGTCTCAGCCAGTATAGCTTGAATAGATCATTGCGGTGTTCAAGCCCGACCACCACGTCAAGGTAGCAGCTTTCGGTCGGGCAGTAGTGCATTACTACTATCCATTCCTAAAGTTCGCCTGAAATGTTTCCTGAGAAAATTAGACTCACTTGATTTTCTTAGCTCTCCACTGTACTCTGTTGTTTTCATTAATTATCCTTCATTTAATTTTCGTCGTTGACAGATTAGTGCATTTGTATTTCCTTTCATTACTTTGATGCCATTCAGCAGCACATTAGATTTGAAACATATCAATTCAGGTACTGTGTATTAATTACCTGCTCTTTATAAATCCCATGAACACAAAATCTTGTTAGTATGTACAAGTAATATGGACTCCATTTGGAAATCTCCTTTTGATGGCAGATGCATTTGCTTGTTCTCTTTAACCCTGATTACGTTAGTGTTTTTTAGTAGTCTGTTATTTCCCAGTACCTCAAGAAGTACGACATCGCACTTCTCGCTTTGTTGTGGAGCTACATCTCGCTAGTCTGTTGTTGTAACACAACTGATCTGTTCCTTTCTATTGTATTCACTTGCCTTTCATATGTCAGGTAGCATATTTAGGCAGCAGGCAAAAGGGAGTGATCCTAAAGCACACTGTTTCTGTTTAAACTTCAACTTGCCATTTCTATCTATTCATAAATGTCTTCATAGTGTCTATCTGCTTCGTCCCACTATTCGCAGCTGTCACTTCAGTCAGGGTTTAGTTGTTATTCAAAGATGTGTCACTGAGATATACATTTGCTCGTCTTAAGAGGTACCGTATTGGAATTTGTTAAATATTTGTGAACATACTGGTTCAAAGTGATTAAGCATTAGTATACATAATTATTATTTGAAAGAACTGTCAACATGTATGCTGGATTTCTAATTCTCTTTCAATAGTGAAATGTGTGCACAGAAAGAACAGTGTAGTTCATGTGGAAACTCGAAAACGTCTAAAGAAACTGACCAATAACTTCCTGTCTAACAGTTGGTACATGGATGATACTTTTATTATCTCCAATAATTAAGCGAATTTAGAAGATACTCTAAGTTCTCTCAGTAGTTGTTATCCTGCAGTCTAATTCACATTAGAGGAGTCTGACTGAAAAAAAATAACAGAACATTGAAAAGACCCATCCACAGAAGGCCGAAATGAAACGAAGAACTTACGATCTCCTACATTTAGGTACTAACATACAAACTCAATCTGATCCGGTCAATGAGTCGAAGGACCCGCAACATTTTCATCCCTGACACCAGTGAAGAGAAGCTGAACGGTTTAAAAGGTTCCTATCGCAAATGGCTATCTTCAATATTTCATCATAAAACCAATGAAGACTGTGCCGTCTCCCAAAGATTCTCTGTCTGGATATGCAATTCAGTGAAACACTCAGAAATCTTTAGGAACCGTTTTTCCCTTTGCACGTGAACTTCGAATTACTGTTTCTAGAAAACTAATTATTCGAGCCAGTGGTGGCCAAACAAAAACATGGCATCAATCCATGAAATCCTTGACAGTTAAACTGAGTCAGGTAGGGAGATGCAGACTCCCGGGTTGGGGCCCTCGGGACTCTAGGAATCAATGGCTGGAGACAATAGGTGACATGGCTCAAAATCGTTGTCAATGGCGCAGATGTATTCAATCTCTGTAATCTTTCATATTCCTTTCTACCATTACCCATTCTGTTTCACTCTTATATTTGTCAAACTCTATTGATTCTCTTCACTCATCTTCTTGTCTACCTCTGTGTGCTATTTGGAACGTGGCAACTCGAACTGCTGCACTTCGGTGCCAAGTTCTATGTTGAATCCAGACAGACAGAATTATTCGAACGAACGCGTGGAATAAGCTACCACTGTTGGTTTCGTCAATATCAATCTGCTTCTATGGTGCTAGTTATGTCACTTTCTCTCATTGGCTATCCAAATGTACCGTTGGACATTTCCTCTGATAGTTTTATAGAGGAAAACGATGACACAGGTGTACTCTGTATGCCAAGCAAATGCTTAAACCAACTTTAAAATCACTTAGTGCGTACACAGAAATATTGCCGAATGAGTACGAATTGAACTTTTACTAAACGCAAAAGCCATGGCAATCTACATGGATTTTGCCTACAGAAGAAGGTTGTTCAGTCATTAAACCTACTATGGACCTAATTTGCCTCACCATTTTATGCTGAATTTCTATTAATCCTGATTTTTGTTATATTTTTCTCCTCACTATAGCATCCACACTTCTTGTAACTAATCTTAATCCTCTTTTAGCTTTAGTTGAGCTATACTAAATACTGTGAATTGTGTTACGTCACTCGATTACGTACTTAATTTTATTTCTCTTTACCCGGTTAATGCTTTCTGTGTAACACAACTGTTATCTACCACTTACAGTCTTAATGACATTTTTTGGGACATTCCTTGTTGTTATGATAGTGTATTACATATTTGAGGTTATTTCGTCGAAGAGAGTAACTGTTCTCTGGACACTTCTATGTATGCAAATGGTGTTGATTGATGTTAAAATTGTTGAAATGCAGTGCAATTTTCTAGTTTACTTCCTATATATCTCCCACCTCAGTAGCTCTATTTGGATAGTGTTTGACTGTAAACTATGTAATTTTATGCAAAAGTTACAAACGATATTCGGTCTTAGAAACCTTACTAAATATAGCAAGATTAGTAACAATAACTGACCGTCTAGTAAAAGTATCGGCTATTGTCTTGATGTTTTTACTGTCAGTCATAATTTACTTGTGAAAATTATCTTGTATATTTGGGTACTCCAATCTGACCTCTTGTGCTTTAATATTTTTAGGCCACTCCAGTCCTGCTTTTGTACAAAGCGTGTGAACTCTGAAGTATGACTTCACTTTTGGTTACCACTACATCTGAGAAACAAGTTGATGCTGCTGTGGTCTGGGATCCTCTTGGGGGAAATCCGGTTGCTAGTTTGTCCGGTGAATTAGCTTCGAAAGCATCCATCACCGGTTTTTTCGGAGGTGTGGCTTGCTCGACCGCCAGAAAACCTACCATACAAATGTGGAATTTCCATAGCGCTGTAATCTATTCTCTTCCTCTTGTAACATCTGTGTTAGACTTCAACACATAGAAATATTTTGACTAAAGGACTGGTCAGCGCCTTTGTTTTCACACCAGATGGAAATTATATCATAATAGCATTTGACAAAGAAATTTACGTGTATCAAGTAGGTTGATTTACTATTTAAAATATTTCAAGACTGGCAGCGGTTGCTTGATTGGCATTTTGGAAGGGTCGCACTCTGCTAAAATATGCGAGATGAAACTAGCCAACTGGGATTCAAATGGACCTGCCCTATTAGTGTCAGCGGACATAGTTGGATTTTTAGCTTGTTGGTCATTGGGAAGTCTTGTTCGTGGAATCAGTATGGTAAGCTCACAGAGTGCTGGTGATAATGAGCCACAATCTAATACAAACATCTCGAGTATGAAACATTCTCCGCTGTGGTATGTTATTCAAGCAAGCACTAGTCATCCTGTATGTACGATTATGGCAGACACAGTTGTTGTGGCTGGATCACAAGGTCTAAAGGTGAGTTAATATATATATATATATATATATATATATATATATATATTGAGTAGAACGTCTACTTATTACTGTCCTCCTAAATTGTTAAAACACTGAATTGCATTGTATTATGTTTTGTAAGTAGATGGACCGGTTTCAACAATCTTATTTTTATCGGTAGTCCAGATATAAAACATTACCGTGTTTTCCATAGTCCAATGTATTTAACTATGGCATTTTGTTTCCAAACGTCTGATTGATTGCTTTAATCTTAATAAGAAGCTCATCCATTTTACAGTTTTGATTCAAAAAAGATATAAAATATACCGTAATCGCCATTCACATTTTTGTTCTACACCTGTGTAGCGATCAATTTTAACTCTGACTTTACCTAATACCTTGAATCAATTACTGACTTTGGCGGGTGATAGTTCCGATTTATTACGTTAGTCATTCAGGCTTTATGTAATTCTTCCGGCATTTGAATGAATAATATGCAAGTTCAAAGAAGAGTACATGCATTTGCTATCTTGCAAAGTTTCTGATTAGTGTTCACAAAGGTTATGTGCATTGAGAAAATCGGACAATTTTGTTTGAGCACCATGTAACAATACCCGTTAGAATAAGATATAAAATAATAATTAGCTTTACACTTTTCCTTAGGATCAAGAGATATTGTGACATTTATTACGTATAAAAGCGACTACTTATCTCCAGAAATGTGTACCTTGAAAATCTTGTTCATTATTCTTGGGTTAAATAATCATACCATTTCATTTTCATTTGCAGATGTACAATTTATATGATGGTTCTGTTCTTGGATCTTTGCTAACAGATGTTCCTGGTGGTTTGTTGAGTATTTGTCCTTCATCTGTTGGTGATGGAAAACTCTTCTGTGGTGGAAATGATGGTTTATTGTATACTGCCTATATACAATCACAAGGAGTAAGCCTGCATATTATTACAGTCTCTACAAAATAATAACATTCTTTGCCATGACGATAGAGTCCATGTTGTTGATCCCTGTGTCTGGTAAAATTTTGTTTACTAATTTCACATTAATGACTAACGTACTTTGAAAGTGATTTGGAAGGTTTCACGGTAAGTTTTAGCCGAGAAAAACTATATTGGTTACAGGATTTCATTATGAGCTGACATCAGTTGGAGAACCTGGGAGTACTGGACAGCTGTTTCGTCCTAGTTTGGGACTCTTCAACAATACGCATCAACCCGGGTTCGAACCCAGGACCTTCTGGTTACAAGACGAGCTCGTGCACCATTCAGCCACTGGGACCCGATCCAATGGCCCATGAATTCTAACTTCTACCAGTTCACAATATAGCGCAGCCGCTAGCAAATGTCTTCAGCGAGTATTTGTCCTCACACTCGACCTCCTGCATACTACTAGTCACGACTTCTCACTAGAACCCCAGGTAACCTACCTGAATAGGACCGGTCGCCAGTGAGCATCTCATTGATATTCAAGTATTGGTTTGTAGGGATTTGGTTGATTGGTTGCATGATTTCATCATGGGTTCGAACCCCGGTTGGTGCGTACTGTGAAGAGTCCCAAACTAGGACGAAACAGCTGTCCAGTACTCCCAGGTTTTCCAATGGTTCTCCAACTGATGTCAGCTCATGATGAAATCCTGTAACCAATCAACCAAATCCCTACAAACCAATAGTTGAAAAACTATTGTTTTCTTTTAGGTTAGACTAGCTTGAGCAATAGTTCTCTTCCGATAGCACTACTTCGTTTAAAAATTTTTGTGTAGGATAAAGTGTAGATACCCTGTTTTACGAGAAACAGAACGCAAACCTCAGCCATCACAAACAGCCTTTTTATATCTTCCACTTTCAATGACCCTTTCTTACAGTGATAAAGGAGGGCGAAGCGAACTGGTGCGCAGTATACGCGTCCTTTGGTCGACAGGCAGATATCACGTCTACGCCAAAGATGACACAAGTTGGCAAATGCCGCCTGAGCCTTAGTATCCGTGCTAACGTTTCGCCACTAATCAATTCAGGCCTCATCTTGCTATCGATCTGAGATACGCGTTTAGTTATTTCTTGCTTAAATAGAGACTCAGTGTCCTGATCAAGTTAGAAAGGTGACTGCCTCACTATTAAAAGCTTTTTGTATCCATTTAATGATAAGAGCCCTTCAGAAAATATAATCGAAAAGCAACACCGAAACACTCATATAAAGGAAGTCCTTGTGCCTTTGTAGTAAAACGAATCACTCCTAGCAAAACCATAGCGCCGAAGAGGACAAATGATATGAACTTCAGATTCAAAGGATAAATTTTCATGAAGGAATTTAAAACCCATTTATCTAAATACATTAAACTCACTTTTTACACACTCTGGAATATAGGAATACTTATCGGTATCCACAACTGCCATATTTCTTGGCCTAAAAGGGGAATTTAACTCCACCGGCTGAGAGCTGCTATGGCAATGTTTGTCAGCGAAAGGAGTGCCAAAGAAAGATATTGTAATGCTCTTTAACCCCTCGGTAACATAGTGTTTGTAGCTCCTTCTTCTTAACTGAATCAAGCATACAGGCTTAAAAGGCGGTCGTTGAATGTTAATTCATATTAAAACGTTAGGTCGCTTTTACATGATTATGAAATTAGATGCACGATGCATTTGATTTCGTAAACACTATTTCCAAACATCTGACGTGTTCGTTTGCACGAATACTACTTCCTGTCGAGTTTTGTTCTTAATCTTCCAGGGTACCTCGGGTACTTTCCTGGTTTTGACTTCATCTAAATTCTGTTGACTCCACTGGATTTAAGAAGCGTCTACAATTTTATATCTACATGCCAGTGTGTCCACCTCAGCCTCGTTTGTAAATAGCAAGAGTGTACCTCCGATTGCTCATAAAACAGCTAACCCCAGCCACAAATTAAGTCACGTTGAAGAAAGAATAAAGTGTGTAATTTAGTCTTTTGGACAGCTTGTCAAAACTATGAATTGTCTACAACGATTACTTATGTGAGGTTCACCAGGCACACCTGAATAGCCTAGCAAAGATGTAGCTGAACTGGGTGACCCAGGTCGAAGGGTGAATGTCGGTTATCTTATTTCGGCTACTGTCGGACAACTAGTTTCTGTGTGAGTCGCTTAACATCTTTGTCTACATATCACCTTATTTCCTCATAAATGCCAGCCTACTTATAAGTAGGGTAGTGTTATATGCGAAAATTTACTGACTGTGTAGCTGTTGGAAAATATGTTGTTCAACAGTCATTTGTATTTCTCAACAGTTTCCAATGAGCCACGCCTGTTAGTTGAGGGTTAACGATGCCAAATGACTGTCTAAATCCTGGTTGTGAGGTGAGGTCGAACCCTGAACAGACCAGTGATCCATATATCAAAAAATCAGGATAGGATGAACATCATTTAGCTTGGACACGACTTACTCTATAATTACTCATGAGTAACAGAAAAGGTAATATTAAGGAAAAAGAAGTCTGAAAGCTTTGCATTAACTCGGTGCACTGTCATCATATTCTCTCTCAACTTTGACATGTCCGGGTGAATAGCGCGAAATGACGTAATGTTATTTTAAGTTGTGTTCTCATTATATGATTACTCTGAGTAATGCGTCCAGTGAAATAATGATGAATAATTTATTTGGAAACTTATACGCGATAAAGTATTTCAGTGAACTAATTCTTAGTTTCTCGCTGGCTGAGATGTTCAACTACATGTTAAACTTATGAAGAAACAAGTTTTTATGTCGTTCAAGTATGTCAGCGTAAAATTCAGAAAACAGAATATCTATTTTAAGCAATTTCACTGATCACCTATAGAGAACTTCACCTTGCATTCAGTCCACTTTGTGTAAATGATACCGACATCATATATTTGGGATACGTAGTCGTTCGTTCTCCATTGCTTCTGCGATTGCTTTCAGTATTCCAACCTTCTGTTTCTTATTTCTCCCGCTTCGCCTGTTAAACAGAAACTATCATGCCTTTCACACAAAAAAGTTGCTGTATACACTACGCAAATCTCTTTTTGTTGCCCGGAATGATTGTGGAAACTATCCGATATTCTCAGAGCTTTGATACTATATATTGTGAATGTTTCTAACAAAATTACTGTTGAGGATGTCACCATGCCTGGTAATGAAACGACCACGAAGAAATCTTGGAGCTCGATTCACGTTGAACAGTTTCCACTGTGTTTGTTATCTTAAGTGTTATATGCTGCAGCTTCATCTTATTGAGGACTGATGTAGAGAACTACTATGCATACTGTGCACTTTCCTTCGCAGTTATGCCTTGTAATTCAGATAACATAACAGAACAAAAACACCCATCCGAACTGCATATCTTAATTATTCCAATTTTTCACAATTGCTGGTGCGAAATTAATGTATACATACAAGTTCGGTACCTGCTTGATTTGCAGACTATATTCTTCTGCATAACCTGTGTACGAAAGGGCTTAACTGAGCTCCATACAGGAATCCCAGGGTTCTGATATACAGGCTACTCTGATTTAGTTAGTAAGAACGTGTAGTTGTGTGAGGAGTTTCGAACTACTTCTCTTTTCTTAGTGTTTAACTGTGTTATTTTCCCCTGAAAATTTTAAATGCATGTCTTTAAAACTGAAAGAGCTATCTAACAATCTTATTTATTATTTTAACAGGGTTTCTATTCTGCTGACAAAGAGATTCGTCGTTGTTTTTCAGATTCTAAGTAAGCATATTTTGTATTGAGTAACCATATTGACCGCTTTTTACATGTATTCAGTGTCTGTTAATGTTACTTAAGCTTGATGGAGTGTAATAGCTTGTTTTCAGAGATACTCATACTTCAAGGAGTCAACTTTCAATGGTCTATACTCAGAACCATCAAGTAAAATGCCACTGTTGGTTCACTGAAAATATGTTTGCTTGTGTATAAGCCTTTTTCTTCGAAAATTTTTGTTTTTCTTTAATATGAGGAGTGAACTTGATTTCCTGTTGTTGTGTGTGATAATGTAAAATTTACTTAGTGTTTAAAGAGGCGGTCAATAGGGAACATACACTATGGTACTATTGTGTTTATCGTCAGTCGTTAAAATGATATGGAGAATCGTTTATCTTGGTTTATTATTATTATTATTATTATTATATAAGCTTTATTCCAAATCAGTACTTGTGATACAGAATGGAATTCTCAGCATTTTACTACAATATTGCATCCAGTTTTTACTTTAACAATAAATAAAGTTCTACATAGATTAAAGATTATCTCAACAACATATTAGTATGTCGGTAGCAAAGCCAAAGTTAAAATGTTTGAAGGTGTTACAAAAGTAGATACTACTAGCATATTTACTGGCGTAAGCGATAGCAAAATGGTCGAGATATACAGAGTGTAAAAGAACGAACAAGAATGTTTTAACTAGAGTTTGCAAGGAAGAGAAAAACAAAACAGCACTTAACAAAAATAAAGACAAAAAAGAGAATGAAAAGAGAGAAAACGTTGTACCCATAAATGATGTGAGTTGGAAAGACGAGATTCATTGGTTCTAGTGACTAATTAATAAGTTAAAGGTTTCATGCCTGATGCATTCTTTATCACACAGAACACGGGCTAGGTAGGGTATGGATGAGTTTTTGTACTTACTAGTGCGGGCATATAGTTTCCTATATAGACTTCTTGTTTTCCCTGAAGAGATACATGGGGAGAGTTGTGAGTGTAGAGGGTGTTGTGAGTCAGATAAAATGGACTTCGCCCATTTTTCACATGAGTCCATGTGCCTGTCCACCAGAATGTTAACAAGCTGGCTAAGTGGTAAACTGCTTACCCTGCTGACAACCTTTAACATCCTACGTAATAAGGTATAGTCTTTCTTCAATAGCCCAGGAAAGACTAAGGGGGAGCAATAGAGAATTATAGGCAGAATACGGGAGTTAACAAATTGTAGTAGTAAGGGTTGGGTTACACCAGAATGTCTTAACTTCTTGATGTAGAAGGTAAGACGGTATATTTTCTTGGAAATCGTCAAGATATGAGACGACCAGGAAAGATCAGAAGATAGAGTGACGCCTAGGTATTTAATTTCCGACTTAGTTTCTATTTCAGTGCCATCTATGTTGCACACCTCGTGAGCGCTAACCAGTTTGTTTAGGTCAGATTTATGCCTAAAGGTGAAATTAACTGTTTGGCATTTGGAGGGGTTTAAGGTTAGACCGTTTTCCTTGGACCATTGGCTAATTTCTGATAAGAAGCCATTTAGTTTAGAGCAGTCATTTTGACATTTGACAGGTAAAGATACAGTTAGGTCATCAGCATATTTGACAAAGTTAATATCATTTGAAGACGGTAGGTCATGTAGGAAGAATGAAAAGAGAAGTGGGGAGAGTACAGCACCTTGGGGGACACCAGATTCAGTGAGCACAGCAGAGGAGGATTGACCTTTGTATACGGTGTACTGCATTCTGTTTGAAAAGTAGGAATGCAACCACTTAGTGACCCAAGACTCGGTTTGTGTCGTGGAGAGCTTATTTAGCAAGAGACTTCTAGGTACAGAGTCGAAAGCAGAAGTAAAGTCAAGAAACGTGCAGCGGACATATTTGGCACCTTTGTCTAATGATGAGACAATACTGTTGTGTAAGACGGCTGCAGCGTCTAAAGTACTCCTACCCTGTCTGTAGGCAAATTGTTTGGGGTCTTCGAAGCTTTTAAGGGAGGGTTCGAGTTTAAGAAGTATTAGTTTTTCCATGAGCTTTAGAAACGGGGAAGTGATGGCGATGGGTCTGAACTTTACGTTCTTGCTATTTCCAGGTTTAGGGACAGGGACTATTTTAATGTCTTTCCATGGAACAGGTACAACGTTTTCGGAGAAAGAAGCATTTAGGATATTAGTTAGAGGAGAACATAAAGCATCTGCACATTGTTTTAGGACATATGCAGGTATGCCATCAGGGCCAAGACTATGTGAGGGCTTAAGAGTTTTAAGACATTTCAAAACATCGAGAGTATTGAAGTCCTGGAAGTTATCAGCTACAAGATTGGTAACATTAGAAGTGGTTATGGTAGAAGGAGAGCGTATAAAAGACAGATTAAGAGCATTAACATCACAAGAGGGAAAAACATTACATCGCTTACTATTGCCAGTAATTTCATTGAAAAGTTTCCACATGCTGTTTGGAGATTTGCATGATAAAAGTGTTTGGTTATAGATAGCATTAAGATTTTTGATTTCAGATTTGATTTGAGCATTTATCTTTTTAAGTCCTAACTTGTCTTTGCATTTATATAACATTTCTTTTTGCCTGCGAAGTTGTTTGAGATGGGGAGACGAGAAGCGGTCGAGGCGTTTGAACAGTGTTTGTTTGGGACAGCATATGTCAAGGCAGAACTTAAGATAATCCATTATATTGGTGATTGAGTCATCTAATGTACTTTCATAGAATAGATCCCAGTTGGTATCTTTTAACATGCATCTTAGATTGAGTAAGTTGTCAGATGTGTAGCTTCTTTGTTGTGCCTTCGTGGACAGGTGTGAGAAGATTTTAATATGTGTTTTGCTGTATATTTTTGGCAAAACGCGGACAATGCAGTGATCGGAGTTATGTATCGGTGAACGTCTACGTGTTTCATATACTCCTTCATCATTGGTAAAAACCAAGTCAAGGGTTTTGTCAAGTCGAGTGGGAAATTTGACTATATTTGTGTGACCAAGAGCTTCAAGAAAGGAGCAATCTGATGTGTTGAAGTCTCCAGTAATAACGGATAGAGAGTTGTCGAAGTTGGCAGCAGCAAACATGGTGAATTCATCAGCAAAATTAGATAGATCAGATGGAGAGCAACTAGGAGAAATGTACATGTTTGTAATATAGAATTGTTGATATTTGGGGAGGTGTTTGGGGCGACATTTGACAGTAATACAGTCAATGAAGTCATTTGAGAAGGTGAAGCAGACGTTATTTGAGACAGACCATTTGGAGTGAATAAAAGTTGCAACGCCACCACCATTTTTCTTATTACAACATTGACGGTCTTGTCGAAATAAAATAAAGTCCTTTAGTGAGATAAGGTTGTCATCATACAGTTCATGCAACCACGTTTCTTGTAATGCGATTATGGCAGTGTTATGATACGTATCAGTTGACATCAGGGATTGTAGGTACATTATCTTATTTGGTAGAGAGCGACAGTTTGAGTTCATTATGACGGGGACCGTAGTTAAGTGTATTGGTGTACGTTTGAGAGCTCTCTGCCAACCACTACGATGTTTCCTTCTTGGTTTCTTTGGAATATGAAAGTCATTTGGTCGTAAATTATTAATAAAGTTACGAGAGTAAATGATTCTGTTAGAATTCATATTTAAGTGATAAGTGTATGCTGGTAAACAGGAAACTGGATGCAAAATGTAGATATTTTGGTAGCAGGCCCAAAAATTCAACAGGCCGCCAAGGTCACTTTATGAAAAGCCCACCAGAACAGACCACGAAACGCTTTCTATATCTTATGAGTACATGTACTAACTGAAACCCCTATTGCCCCCCAGTCGGTGTAGGTATATTGCCTCGAAGCAGTAGCCCAGGTCTACAAATTGAGAACGCCTATTAAGCAGAGTTAATCCATTCAGTTAATACACTTAGTAATTTACACTATGGTAGTCTCATGCAAAGATTGCTAACCGGAACATCTGATGATACCTACGAATGTTCTGTTACAGAGGAAGGATCAACTCAGTTGACCAATATGGTGCTTGCAGACAGCAATGCCTTACTTATTTTAATAGTTTACATTCATGGATGAGTCAACTTCTCCAATGACACCATTCCTCGTGTTGAAAATTATTGAGGTGTATGTGAAAGATGCAATGAACACTAGACCGGGATGATCAGCTAAATCTTATAGGATCTGCAAACCAATTACTCTAGGTTCTAAATTGCTAAACCAGGTATGTTCGTTCTCGCTAATGCATTCTAATTATCTGGACACATTTATTCACAAGAAGAGCAGTAAAGTGTAAATGCTAATATTCACTCATGTAAAAAGCAGTCAGTGAGGAAAGTAATTCATCTTTTTTGAGGTCGGTGTATTCTTATTCACTTGCAAGAAATGTTAAAAGATGAATACGATGAAGATAGTTAAGGTGTAGGGAATGCTGCGAATGTCCGTGTGAATGACCAAAGTGACAAAAATGACTATTTGTTTACATTCATAGGGAGTTATCAACAATCTACTGACCTTTATTTTAGTTGCTCATCAATTGTATTTCTCTGAACCGATTTCCCATCTACACTTTATTTTGAGCCGAATTCTCAGTCGACAAATAATGTCATCGTTTTACTAAATTACAAACATATACACACTTCGGCGTCCAACAATTGCCATATTTCTTGACTTGAAGGCGGCCTTCGACTCCGTGGATCGAAAGGTACTATGACAATGTTTGACTGTGAAGGGAGTGCCAAGAAAGTACATTCCACTAATCAAGGCACTCTGTTCAAACTCACGTAGCCATGTAAGGGCTTATGGGGAATCGTCATCCGAATTGATAACAACCAGTGGTGTCCAGCAGGGATGTCCACTTTCCCCATTTCTGTTTAACTTCATCATAGATATGCTAATGGAAGTATCCTTAACTGAACTTAACGACTTGTTACCAGGGTATATTCTTATGGCCTTAGAATATGCAGATGACATAGTCCTGTTAGCGGAGGATGCTGACAAAATGCAGAGTCTTCTGAACACCTTGAGCAGCAATCTTCGTATGTTTGGCATGCGATTCGCCCTGGTTTGGGGCTCTCGGAACTTTAAGAATCAATGGTTGGAGACAATAGGTGACATGGCTCAAAATCGTTGTCAATGGCTCAGATGTATCTCGTCTCTGTAATCTTTCATATCCTTTTCTACCATTACCCATTCTGTTTCACTCTTATACTTGTCAAACTCTATTGAATCTCTTTACCCATTTTCTTGTCTACCTTTGTGTGCTATTTGGAACGTGGCAACTCGAACTGCCGCACATCGGTGCCAAGTACTATGTTGAATCCGGACAGACAGACAAATATGAGGCAGCTGGATGTCTCACAAAACCCTTAAAGTATTATGTCTACCACACAAGTGCAGTACCTTTAAAGGTTATTTGGTGCACCAACGAAGCAATTCAATTTCGTCGCAAAACTATTTCTTAATAGTAGATTAAGTGGGAGAAACCCATCTCTCAATAATATTCTTCGTTGAAGCCAATGCGAGGAGTTGATTGTGGTCATCTTCTCGCTATTGCACTTTAGATGGTTTATACGAGATATCTATGTATTCGTTACTCCTTTATATATATATATATATATATATATATATATATATATATATATATATATATATATATATATATATATATATATATATATATATATATATATATATATATATATATATATATATATATATATATGGGAGTCTCATCAGTCCTAATGGACTAACTGAGTTGTTGCGCCTCACTAAACACTATTACCAATAGTTGCAGATTCTGTGATGGTTCAAAATAGTTCGCAATGGCTCTGAAGTATTCGCGGCGTTCAAATCGGGAATATGAACTGCACTTATTGTCTGAAGGCTGGTGGTTATACGTCGAATAAAAAGATTAGATTATATTCGATATGTGATGGGTGAAGGTCTCGTGCTAAAGACAGGGAAACACATTACCCTATTTAATTTCTTCATAATGTGTTTATATATGTGATTGACAAGAGGCAAATGCATTACGCTGTGAACGCTTAAAAGAACTAGTAGCCACAGGGAGTAAATAGTTTACAGTAAGCTCACTGTTTCTCCCTTATAGGGAGACGGAACAATAATATAGAACGGGAAAGAGAGCTTGTTATAACTAGATACATCAAATAAAAACCTGTTTTGAACTGTGTTGGGGATTTGAAAAATAACAAACAACTGTAATTATGAAGGTGAGATTGTTCACTTTGTGCAAAATTTGTGAATTTTTCAGCCACATTTTGTTAACTCTTCTCTCGTGTTATAGTTTTTCAGCTTCTCAGAAAGCAATAATTATGATGGCGATGGATATGGATTGTGAAATGCTGGTAGTAGGTGCACGTTGTGGTTTGATCGAAATTTTACGACCCGATTCTTTAATTACTTGTATACAACGCTTTTCAGTTCTTAATCCCTCTATAACAAACGATTCCACTAACAATTATTTGACTGGATTGTGTCTAATACCTCGTCCTGATTGGTTATCTGATATTGTTGGGATAGAATCACTTGATTCCGAAGTTTCATCCAAATCCGATTACAGTTCTGAGAAAAGTACAGGTTCTAATACTAACGTCCGAGCATGTTCAATCGAACCATTTAAGCGTCATTTTGGTTGGAGATTAGACGATACAGTGTACGCTAGAATACCTGGACCATCAGAGGTAAGACTGTGATATACTTCCTTGATTATCTCTAAACCATGCTTATTTTGGTGATTGCTGGTACAAATTTGGTAAGTTTGATTGCTTAATTGCAGAATGCTTTAGCTAAATTATTGTTTATGACAGGGTTTGTGTATGACTTTGGAGTATGATAAATCACTATCAAGAAACCCTCAGTTGTGTCTCAGTGTACCCACATTCACTTAGAATGAGAGTAAACCTAACTGGCTATGTCAACAAAGCTAGCCTTATAAGTTTCTAGACCGTGAATGTTAGGAATTTCCTGGAATAATTTTAGCGCCGAGCCAAAGTGAATCATTATAAATTACTTAAAATCTGAATAATTCTGCTGTGAAGAAGCTGTGGGAGGAACACATAGTAAGACAAAATATTCAGCTCTTAGTGAGCGGATAGATAACGCAAGTGGTGAAAGTCAGTTGACATCTGTGTGGTGGTTCCATGAGACCTTATCGTTTGTGTATTTTAAGCCAACTAAGGATTCATCATGTGGTGTGATCATCTATCAGTAACGTAAATCACATACTTATGGTGTATATCCAGAAGCCCATAGTAACAGTACTAGCCCAATCAAGGCCTTAGTCATTTTGGTTGATTTATGCCAATCAGTCCACTGTGGTATCTCCGTAGGTGCCTCGAGAATATCTTCAGCGCACGCTTTACGGTGTGGTCGACATCGAAAACTTCACTTACTTGAAAAGGCGCATCTGTTGTGGTTTGTTGTCGACATGAGGCTTTTAGTGCTGCAGAAATATTTACGCGTCAGTTGAATATTCTGTCTTGCACTGTGGTGATGTCTATTCTGCCAAATCACCATGTTACCTGACCGTTAAAGTTTTGGTTTCGTGGATTTGACAACCGTTGTTAACAAAACATCATATGGTCATCTTTCTCTATGAAGAATATTTGAAAGGTGCTTCTCGTTATTTAACCTTCTTTCTCAATTGCTCTTCACTTAACTCTGTAGAGATATCCAAGTATATAATGAGATATATTTAGCAGTTAAAAGTCGATATATCGGTTGACAGAGTTGAAAATTTTTTATCTGTACAGATAGTTAAGACATGTATTGATACAAATTTGTCGCTGCTTACTGCAAAACGCCGTATTCTTAAGAATAAAAGCTACATGAATTAACAATCTGAGTGCTCGAATAAAAGTCACGTTTCATACCAGTTGTTCTGTTTTACACGTGAATGTCAAGATCCTACCTGTTTTATCCACAGTACCAACACCGAGAGAAAATTTACGCATTATGGTTCAGACTAGATTGCAGTGGTGCTTATGAATATTTTCCCTAAAGTGGTCATTCAATCAGTGTTATCATCCGTCCTTTATCCATCTTATTCCTAATTTTCTCACATTTTACGCTGCCTACGGACGTAATTATTGTATTAGTTTTTCTTTCTATCAACTTGTCCTCGTAGATTCATCATGAATATATATCAGCTAAGACTGACAAACAATTTCACCATAGTCTTTTCGGTCTCTTACTGACTTCACGATGATGCAAATCATAAGTGCAGATTTCCGTTATATCGTAGAAATTCAAACGAGTGTGATACTTCTCGCTGTTCATCTATAAATCGTTTGACTTAATTACTGGGGTGGTGGGAGTGTGTAACCTATGTTTTATCATTCTTCGTGTGCATGGAGCCGCGATATGTAGGCAGCAGTCTATAAGTTTCATTTGGTACTCTTTCAGTTTTTCTACTGCTTTTCATATAGACATTTGAAAGAATTCTCCACTTGTGGCCACCCACTGTTTTATGCCATGTTCTCCCTGTGGCAGTGATACCTATCATTCAAATTTCAAACACCTCCTCGTATACATGGTGATTGTTTCGAGTTTGTTACACGGTTCTCCTTCCTTGCTCATGATCAAGAAGTTGATACTGACCTATGCATTCATTGACTGTTCACTTAAATCGTTCGAGAAATCGCTAAATGCACCAAATTTCTTAGCAGAAGTAGTTTTACTATGACTTTTCATCTCTTTAGTCTTAATATTTGTTTTCAAGTGTGTATATATTTGATGTTTGATTTCTTTTTTATATGTTGATTGGCAGAGGTCAGATGTATCACTAGAAGAAGCAAATCTTTTTATGGATGACTTCTTTACCAGCAATACAAAGCATGCTAAACATGATGGATTAGGAAGTGAGGAGCTCCAGATTTTGAGAAAAGAAATTGATCGAGTTACAGCTTCCAATCGTGAACTTCTTCGAAGACTTATCAATTTTGAATTAAGAACATGTGAATAGTTCTTTTTTTTTAAAAAGTGTGTACTAAATACACATTCTTTGAACAACAAAATATCGTCGTTTTCGCCGGTGGTATTTTGACCAAGTTGTTTCTGTGACTTATTCCAGCATAGTTTTTCGATACGTCATAAAGTACCACAACTACATATAAATTAAGTTTGTCCATTCACTGTATGATTGATTAACGTGATCATTGATCGTAATAACTACGTTTACCTTTTTACATTAATGTCGTTAATACATGTACCAATGGTGAATTCTTAAATCTACATTCATGTTTAAGCCTCAACGGCTTAGGATGTCGAAAAAGATAGTGAAAGCTTTCCAATGAATATATACAACTCAAAGACAGCAACTACATCAATATAGCCATTTAAGCAATAAATGTTGTTCACCAATTCTGAATTATCAGTTAGATTATAGGCCATCTTTGATGTTTCTTACTCAGCTGTTTTATTTTCTAATTTACTTTTAATCCACCTAGGATGTTGTAGTTGCGCTATATGACGTTTGTTCTTGCTTTGTTCAAGTTTATTAATGGGAAGAATTGCATGAAGTTTATATGACGTTTGTTGCACCTAATTTAGCGCCAGTATATTCATCCATTACAGTCCTAGAAAAAGTTACCCACAGACCGAATAGCTTAAACGTAACGCTTTTCTTTTTGTAACACTGCATGTTGCTAGTTCGACTTTCCGTAGGGACTATCAGTTTTTTTCTGGGTTGCGTGTTGGCAAGAGGTGATAGGAATGAAACCTAGATTCAAAGCCGATTGCATTCAAATATCAGTTCAAAGTTCACCGTGATGTCAACTGATCTAAGAATTGCACAAGTTCCTTAAATATCACAGTGTTTAGATCACTAGGAGTACTATGATATGTAATGCTGTAGGTTTATTGTTCATCGGTTAGTACAGCTGCAACTTTTGTGTAGTTACGATCTTTGTCTCCTCTGCCATCGAAATCCGTGGATGCGATTCTATGTTTTGATGTCAAAGTATATTCAACTGATGAAATCCACCATACAATCAAACGAATTCCCTAAAAAACCAATACTTGAAAATTAATCTGATGCTCAGTAGTGACTGGCCCTATTCAGGCAGTTAACCTGGGGTTCTAGTGGGAAGCCGTGACCAGTAGGGTACAGCAGGTCAAAGATGAGGTAGTAACTCATCAAAGAAGACATTGCGAAATGGTCGCGCTATGTCGTGAATTGGCAGGAGTTAGAATACATGTGTCATTTGATCGGATCCCAGTGGCTCAATGGTCTACGAGCTCGGCTTGTGACCAGAAGGTCCTGGGTTCGAACTCTAACGGTGGGTGCGTACTGATGAAGTGTCCCGAACTGGGGCGAAACAGCTGTCCATTACTCCCAGGTTTTCCAGTGGTTCTCTAACTGATGTCAGCTCACGATGAAATCCTCCATGCAATCAAACAAAATCTCTACAAAACCAATACTTGAAAATATTCAATCTTCTCTATAAAATAAATTAGTAATATTTGTGTCCATAAACAAGGTGAATAAATTTAGTTTAAACGTAGTCAGCGTTAGTGTTCATAAAACAAAAGTCAAAATCTAACTAACTCATGTTATATATGTCATATGACCAATTAAAGTATTCAAAATTGCGGGTCAGTAAGATATTAGAGCTAAGTGGATCGTTTGTTTACTGAAATTTCCCCACGTGATCAGTTTTTGTTTTTCTGTCAGCCTTTGTGGGGTGAAGTGTGTTAAACGTCAGTATGTTCTGTAAGTGTTTTTAGCACCATGCGAAGTATCACGGAATGAATGGGATTAGGGATATAATACACAAAAGTGTATTAAATTGGAACATTAATTACTACTAGAATGTCATATGTTCGGTAGTGGTTGTCCATAAACTCATTTTTGTGTGTGTAATCGGACATTAAACCAATGGTAAATGACAGGATATTGTTAAGTTTGTTACTTGTCTATCCCGAGAAAATCGCGTGTAGGCGATGCTATGAAATTTGAAAGATTCTACAGTAGATACTGCTTGTCTTCAAACTGGTTAATTCAATGGAAAATACTATAGTTTTCCCCTATTAAAATTGAACTTCATACAAATTTCAGCCTTGTTAGAAATATACACAACTGGGGTATGCAAGCATCTAAGTAGGTGCCTTCCTGAGTGGATTTCAGTGCACACACTTTTCATTTTAACCAACAACAAAAAAATACTCCAGTTGTGTGTCACTTCTGTAGTCCGTCATGTGACTAGTAGAATCATAGTGGTTCCCAAAAGGCTTGTATAAAAAACAGTTGCCATCTTGATCCAGTGTACATAGTATCTAAGCTTCATGAAATGGTTGCCTATAGTATGTCATTCTTCATCAGATTTTGTGTATACAACACTTGAAGGGGATTATTCTGTCTCACGATTATAACTTCCTAAATAAGAGACCAAACTTCAGTTTGGTAACATTGATCAAGATATTTTGAAAATGCAGTACTGACTACAAAAATTCTTTTGACAGTAAAGAAAGTCGCTTCCTAGGATTAGAAAAATGAAGCATTGAACACCAGATTTTCAACACTTCAAATCGAATGTGTCATTCCTGGCTGCCTTGTTAGGCCATTTTCTATTGTTCGATAAATAAGTGAAAAAGTGTCCGCCTCCACATAACTCTTATCCATTTACAATGTTCTAACCATATGTATTTAAAAAACCAAAAGTTGTAGGATATTTGATTGAAATTTGCACGATGTTATTCTACCCTTTCAATACTAAAAATAACGTTAAGGCCAAGTACGCTAATGCATGGATTTTATTTTAGGTCACTTCAACTCTCTCTCTCTCTCTCTCTCTCTCTCTCTATATATATATATATATATATATATATATATATATATATGCAAATCCGGAACAAAATTTATACGTGCGGGTTACGAGCTCATCAGATTCCATTTCCTTAGGGTTGACTGAACTTCATAAATAATTGGGGTAGTCAATTCATTGGATCACTCCACCTCCTGTACTTCAAATATATTTTAGTACAGAGACTGGTGATCTAGAATCACTAGATATTTGACATAAATGAAATTCATGCCGAAAATAATTGATTTTTTGTGCAAGACGACCAGAGAACTCTAAATTTGTCAGTATTTATGCCTTGCGTAGTCTAAATCAACTAGCTTTTTTCGTGAAGTCAGAATTACCTGCACCGATAAAGCGATAATAAAATCAAATAAGAACGATGGGAAACACTGGTTATTTGGCTAGACTTAGAATGATTCACAGTGTTAAGAAAGAAGCTCAGCCAATTGCATTGCATTCACTTGCATGTAATCACAATGTAAGGCGAGACTACTAAAAAGTAATATAGTTAGGTGGGTGGAGAGAGAAGTTGATCACTGAAGCTTTGTGTGTCGATTCAACACTTCACATGTGCAATCGGAGTGACTCGATGCCTATACCGGAGATATGGAAGGTGGCAACGAACAGGTAGATAATATATATATATATATAAGACACATTGTCAAAACATATGACGAAAGTGATATGATTATGAGCAATAGCTTATGCTTGAAACGTTATCCAGTTGTTAATACTCCATCACTGTGTGATATTTAAAATAAACTTATCTAAGATGGAATTACATTCTACCACAGTGGTCAAGTTCTACACTTACAATAGCCACTCGAGTAATACGGCGTACCCTAAATATATTCATCGACCTTATTCAACAGCTGTACGACAACGGCACACGTCAAGTCATCCATAACAGAAAACTAAGCGAGGCGTTTGGAGTAAAGACAGGAGTCAGACAAGGGTGCTGGCTTATTATCACCAATGATATTCCTAATTGTGATGGACTGACTGGATTATGCGTCAGACAGTGGGAAACGAGAAGACAGGGATATCCTGGACCGACGGGAAGAACCTAGAAGACCTGGATTTCGCGCGTGGATGATTTATGTTTGATGTCACACAAAATCGAAGACTTACAAGCGAAAACCAAAAAAACTGGTCGAAGAAGCAGACAGTGGAAACAGGACTCCAGGTGAACATAGACAAGACGGAGGTTATGAAAATAACCAACCAACCAACAACAGCAACATCCAGCGTCAATCTTCATCAATGGGAGGGATTTGAAAGAGGTGACATCATTCACTTATCTAGGGAGCATTATCTCAACTAAAGGCAGTCGGAACGGACGAGGATGTGAAATCGAGCGAGAATCTGGAAGGCGAGGAACACATTCATCAACCTGAAATCAATCTGGAAATCTTCGTCACTCACCATCAACAACAAAATTCGCTCGGATTTTCAATACAAACAGCATCAAGTCAGTTCTTCTAGACAGGTCAGAAACTTGGTGGGTCACAAAGAATATTTCCAGCAGCCTGTTGCAGACCTTTTTCAACCAACAACTGTCTTCTCTGGATCTATACTGAAGATCAGATGTCCGGGCCAGAAAGAATCACCAACAAGAAACTATGGCTGGGAACAAACAAAACAAGAACCAATCGCCAGCCAACAAATATGCTAGAGAAAGTGGAGATGGATTGGACACTCGCTGAGGAGGCCGCTGGGTGACATCGCGCGTCAGGCCATTGCTCGAGTGGAACCAGGCCGAAAGGGAAGCGGCGAGTGGGCCGTTAATGCAAGGGTGACATGGAGGAGATCATGTGAAGAGGAGCTGAAACAGTATGGACTAAGATGGATGCAGGTGAAAAGTAAATCAGAAGCAAGCGGAGATGTGCAGTCCACTAGGAACCCAAGGGAACAATAATAATAATCGTCCATTTAAATGACGGATATCTCCTAGTTGTCTGTTTCTTCTTGATGGATTGTTTTGCTTAATATTATAAACTTTCTTAGCACTCCCATAATCAAATATTTCGTGGTGTTTGTTGTGTGTAATAATCCTTACTGCTGGCCGAAGGGAAGCATTGAGGTGCATTATGTTTTCTACTGAGCCTTTCCTTTCTTTTGAACAGAATGGCAGCACAACTGACTTTCTAGTTCGTGTGAAACATCTTACTGGCCCGTTAAACTCAGTAGCACTACTTCGTTACTGAGCGCCTACCATAGGTTTAGCTGCTTACGCACTGAAGCTTCATCTTAATTATCAATAATTCTTTTGCATCGGAAATCGGAGAATGTTCAGATTATTGCTGATCAGCTGAAATTTCCAGTCAAATTCTTTCCTTTCTCAATAAAAAATACTCTGTTGTTAGTTGCCCAGGTTCATATCTAATGAAAGTTGTTAATTTCCAATACTCTTTGCAAATGTTATACACCACTGGTAATTTATTGTGAATTTTGGTTTATAGACTTTTGACCAATTACAAATTGGCATTCGATAGGAGAAAAATCCAGGACATATAATATATATATATATTAAAACCGTCATCATCTATTTGTCCATACACACTCCCAGAGGTTGACGTTAAAA